TCTGCACCGACACTGTGCTGCCGCGCTAGTTCGCCGCCCCATTGCTATGTTTGGTGGTCTATAAGTAACTTGATAGAAGTAAATAAAACGAAACCAAAAGTAGTGTACATATCGCACACGCAGTATGCGAATCTACGAAGCCAGATTTTTCTCGTGCAAAAGGAACCGAACGTGCTTAAAGGGCACTAAAGTCAAGTAATAATTTTTGTAAAGTGGAAGTTTATTGAGTGACAACATCTAAAACGACAATATTATCTACAGTAGTGCCCTACTTACCAACAAATTGAAGTAAACGCACAAAAATGCGTGCGCCGCAACAGGACATCTCCAAAAGGATACTAATGATATGAGACGTACCGCCCACAATTATTCAATAGTAATCGATCTAGCTGCTCTTTTTAAAGAACCTTCCGTGCACCAAGAGACGCAATAAAATGCGGCTTGTTAGTTTTTTTTATTCATGGAAAGAATAAAAATGGGATGGTACTAGAGGGAATGGCGCAAGTAGTTGAAAAATTTAATTTACGTGTGGTTACATTGAACAGGCCCTGTCTACTAGCGGGGCACAGTTGAGCTAAAACCAAGGAGGATTAAAGAAAAATTGCTGGAGTGGAAGCTCCAGCAATGCCTTGCAAGCAGAAGTGAAGCCATCTTTTGCCACTGCCAAGATGGCGGAAACATTCTCTTTTCTGATAGTGCCCACTTAAAGATCAAGTGGCTTTGATATGTTATGTAAACGCACCGTTAGTTCTATGTTAAAAGATAGTTGTTCCCGACGAAATAACACACAGAAACGAGTATATATGACTGAATCTTCAAAGAACTTTGCCTCCAATTAGAGGCTCACTAAGGAAAACTAGTAAATGTAAGACGCACTGGGAGCCCTCTGTGACCAGAAAAAGTTCCCACATTAAAATTGTTGGGTGTGCGAGGGAAACGCTTCGTTTTTATTCGCTGAACGGTGATAATTTGTCATGCCCCTAGTAAGATGGCCACCACAGCCGCCATCTTGCCAGTGGAACGGCTTCACTCCTGGGCAGTCATCTCCACTCTAGCAATTTTTTTTAATCCTCCTTGACTAAAACACGTCTGCGATCTCGGAGGCCATCGCTGAAAATGGTTCAATGACCGTAGTTGCTGCTGTGGCTCCCGCTACTTTCGATTCGCTGCTACTAGTGTCGGTGGCCGCAGAGTAGACCCGCGCAACATTGTGCACGGCTACAGTGACGCAAGTCGATTCGCTTCAAGACGCGGGTAAATTTAAAAGCACTAACCCGATTCGAACAACTAAAACGTGATTTAATTGCAAAATAAGCTTTTTTTGGCACAAAATTATGACTACAAAGTTTCGGAACCACTATTGAAACAATGAACGTCGACTTAATAGTTGACTTTAGTGTCCCTTTAACTCAGACATTGCCGGCGTTGTCGCTTTTACCAGTGGAGCCGTGGGAACTCTACGAACTGTCGATGCAACGCGCTTCTTCAGGTTGCAAAGTAATGGGGGTGCCGTACTTTTTAAAGTACTGAGATAACGCTAGTGACCAAAGTATGACTTCTTGAATTTGATATACGGGTTTGATTGTCTGCATACGTAGATCAATGCAAACATTTAGGCATTTCACATGCTTGAATATTATTTAGGCTGCTTGATTGCGGTAGTTCCAGTAAGTTCATCATCAACAGCAGTCTTCGCCAAATGAAGTTTCTATGAAACAGTACCGTAGTCAAGTTTTTTCAGCAGCAGCCCCTTCAGGTTGCATGCTATCCGTAAATCGCCATTCCGCGTCTACATCACAAGTAGTGCAGGTGCTTTCAAACCAACTAAAACCTTTGCGAACAACGAAAAGGTTTCCAAAGCGTGGTTAACTTGAACAGACAAAATAAAAGACAACAATACCAAACTTTCACTGCCAGCTATTCAAATCTTATGAAAGCACAAAAAAGTTAACAAAAAAAATAAAAGAATAATAATTAGAAAAAAACAGAGGGCCACGAGTCAAGATTCTATGCACACTACTTCGCACCAGCATTGGCACTCACTTCTTTGACATGCAAGGATTTTTATTTTTTCTTGATTGCATAAACCACGCAGCTTGCTGCTCCTTCTGAATGTCAACCACAAAGATTACGTCATTCCTGCTATTCACCACGAAACCACTAAATATAAGTCAGCTCTCTCAACATCATGTGGAGCGCGTGCTATGAATGAAAAGTGAAGCTGGCATAGGTTGGCCAGAAGGAAGCAATGTATCTATTTCATCAGCCTGGTGGTGTTTTGATGATGTTGGTTGACGGGAAAAGCGTTTGCAGTGCGCAAAAATGCGCCTGTGGGTAGCGTCAACAAAAATAGTCGAGTAAATGATATCTACAACGCTTTTTCTGATAGAGAAGCCCATGCGAGAAAAGCTGAATCGTAGCGTAAGGTGTAAGCACAGTATATACAGAGCTTCGAATTAGAGGTGCTGACGTTTGACGTAAACGGATTATATTGAACTTTCAAATTAAAACGAACCAGCATAAAACTACAGAGGTCATAATTACGTCAACACGACTTCACATGAACATCATTTTTGCCAAAGTCGTCTTGACGCTGATGGCCCGTTTTCATGCTTGGTGAGACATGAAAAACCTAAATAATAAAAAAAAACAAAAGATGTCTGTGAATCCAGTACCACACACTTTTATGTTTAATAGATTACAGAAGTTGTTCGCCGGCTAGTCCAGTAGTTCTGTGTAATATAGGAAATGACGCGTTACACAAACGCAATTGTCAATAGATACTCTGAACAGAAAGAGTCACAACGCTAAGATTTACCACATGCCAGCGTTTTTGAAGGTACCAGCCCACCATTAACCGCTGACACTCTCCTTGCCCCTTCCGAGCAATTTGTACTCTTTAGCAACTCCATCTCACAGTTTAAAACTGCAGTAAAACTGACGGTTTGGCGATTTGCTGGGTGTTTGTGGTAAAATTTTCCATGTGACGTGTACAGTGGCATTCGTTAACCTTCTTTCTTTAGTGCCTATAATCTGTAAAGACTACACATTTCAGCATAAATATTAAGACTATAAGCATAATTATCTAGCATCTGGCATAATTATGGCATATAAGCATAATTATCTAGCACCTAGATTATGCATTAGGGAAACATAATAAAGTGCGAGAATACATGGCACCAAGTAAAGTCAAAGAAGAAGTGCTTTTCTGCCTAAACTTCTCTTGTGACGTGCGTTTCGGCACTCTGTTATTTATATTCTAGCGTCACGCAAGACATTAAAAATCTTTTGACAACTCATCCAAGTCTATTTCGACATCACGCGACCTGGGACTTAGCACACACCTTAACAACATTGACGGCGAAAAGATAATGGAGCAGAAGAAGCACTTCTTGACACTTGACGTGTGATTAGCTTACACGAAGACAATGCTCTGTTTCTCAGAACTTTTATTCATCTCAAAATAAAAAGCACAAAATTAGCTTAATGTTACGGGCTGTTCTTATTCAGGACTATCAGTTTTAGCTATTGTTTCTCAACGATTTTTACTACGAAAGCTTCTCTTATGCTGGGTCCTACCAAGGCTTCAATGCCGTATTTTTGTCATGAAAGTGAGTTCGAAGAAATACGCATATAGAAGAAGAAGAATGGGTTGGAGCGCATATGGCAACGACTCTACTATAATGTCAGGAAATATGCTATTGTCAATAAAGTACAAACTGTGCAATCACTGCATCTCGCCAGTTTGTACATATCCAGCAGAAACATAGAGAAACACAACGCAACATCGTTTATGAAAGGATTGACGTAGTTAAACGTTCAATAGAGCACAAATACTATTAGGAATTCGGATGATGGCCGATATGGTCCTGGAGCAAACAGACATTTCATATAATCAACTTAGATTAACGTAAAATAAATGAACCTAGGTGGGCCGCGTAACGCGTAAAACACCTAACCAGTGGACAGCAAGAGCCACTAAAACACACGAAATGTTGTAAAACAGAGTCAAAATTGCCAGACAGTTTGATGAAGTGAAGAAATAGTAAATGTGCAGCTAAAGAATGTAATCAGTTCACACATGATAAGGTAGACTGGTACTTAATGGGAGAGGCCTTCTTTCACCAGTTAACTAGAGCAGGGTGAAAATCGAGCAACATTTGGAGGCAAGGGCGAAAAATGACCATTTGTGGCGTTAAAAACATTAGGATGACCTGATGACTTCACTCTACGGCATACCCAAGGCACCATAAACCGTGAAAGTTTTTGACGTCATCATAATTTGGCATGAAGGCCCAATCGGGAGCTAACTCAACGGCCCATAATGACGCTATTTTTTGACATCTTCGCTTGATCGATGGTGGGCCCATCCTGGAGGCTCTCTAAGAACTCGTTAATCTTCCGATGTCTCTGATCCTGAAGGATTTGCAAAACCATGTTGGTGGAAGAAGGCTTACCGGAGAAAGGGGGTCAATTCAGTCACGTTCATTCTACTGCGAAAAACAATAAGGAGATCACGTGAGCCTTCGGGTCGTGTTATGATGAAGCGTAAAAGTCCGTGTGACTTTTGTCTTTCTTCAGCTTTTTATTACACTTGAGCTTATAGTTATAGGCTACACGCTATAGTTCAATGCGCAAAAATATTGCTTTTTTTGCTGATTTCACTGTGGGATGGATTGTTGCATGCCAAACCATATACAGAAAAAAACAATTGGTGTTCGGGATATTCTTTAGTAACAAAAAAAAACAATTGAGTGTCCATACATCTCAATTCTAGGGACATTGTGAACTTTGCCAGCAGCGGGAAGATTAGTCAGGTCAACAAAGAGACAAGACACTGCTTACTACAAGTGAGCAAACTAAAAGAAATAACACGCATTTGTCAGAAATCTGAAATGAATTGTTTAAGAAGTACTTTTGAGTTGAACTATGACGAAGCTCAAACTTTATACAGAACAGGCAGTATCAACCTGAGTTCTGAATAAAACAGCGCAAGTGCGTCTGTAGAATATATAGCCACGGCCTTTAGCAGTTTTGTACGTTCTTTTCCCAATAGTTACGTACGAAAGGGGGCAATGAATGTGTGGTGGTGTTTGTTTCTTCTGATTGCAGTAGGTAAGTTTGTAACGTGGATATAACTTGGTTTTGTTTCCATGCATGCTCTGTGCGTGCGTTGTTTAAAAGAATGGCAATTGTACCTTTGTGATCATGTTATATCAAAACTTTCTTAGGACAGCTCTGTAATACATATACAGTTACATTTAGAAACAGAATTTTTAAACTTTTCGCGACCATTGACGTTTGTAGTCATGAGAATTTCAAACAAATTGACAATTGACGGGTATACTCTTTGTCAGCAAAACAGCGATTGAACGTAGAAAAAATTACTGTATTCGCTGGTGTTTCTTTTGTGCGAGATGGTTTCTCCTCCACGGTGTATCAATAGATTTCATGCCTACCCTTCCATCTGTCTATATAGCCTTTGGTTGCCCTGCCACCTCTGATACTGCGCATGCAGCGTCTTCTACAGCGAAGGCTGTTGCAATATCACAACAAAGGTGCCATAGTTAACCACTACCACCGCCAGTGTCCATGACTAGTATAGCTCAAAATTAAAAAAAGGAAATAAAAAGACCTTTCCTTGAGTCACGGTACTTATGTTTGCAAGCGTCAGCTCTAAAGACTGATTTGAACATTTATTCCGCCTACGTTTCTCAAAAACCTAATAAACTTAAGTTCTGTTTCCCAAAAACGTAATAAACTTAACTTCAGTCTGGAAGGATATATTCTTGCGACACCTTAACACTCGCAGTTTTTCTTATTTTGTTTATGCTATTCACTTGCATACAAAGTGTGAATGTAGTCCTGAAACAAGCAGTATATTTTTCCAGCTCTAGAAATAGACCACTGATTAATACGGCTGGCGCAATACCTCGTCATGCACGAAATAATTGCGCGCAATATTAGTAAAATGTTTTATTTGGTTTGAGACGAAGTGTTTTTCTATCGTTAGTAACATAATAATATTTCAGGCACAGTTGCGTTGTGCAAGTTCATGTCTTTTGCGTGATTGAGTAAATTCCTTCTAATTAATTATGTAGTCACTGTTTTGCACCACTGAGTATTTTAACTATTTATGTAGCGAAGCAGTTCTAGCTCAGGAAAAATTGCTGTAGTCACCCAAAACTACAATTATGACCAAACCCCACGTGCTCTTTCTGTCCACTTTTGACGTTTTTTTGCTTCACTTTTATAACACGTGCGCCGAATTGGCAGCGTATGGCAAGTAAGCCAGGAGAACAGAGAAAGAAATCAGAGGAAAGTGAAAGAGAAAGAGACGCGAAAAACCAATCCTCTGGTAGGATTTGAGCCTGCGTATCCATGGTTTGAAGGCCAGCGTTCTAAGCACTATGCTATCTAGTCAGCTGACAGAACATAAAGTCTTTGCACGTCAAAATGAAACAAATATCGCACGGAGAAAGAACAATATGCGACAGAACAAGCGTTTGTGTTTTCCCGTGTCACTCTTCATTCGTCAAGTTTGTTTTATTGTAGTGCGCGAAACGTTTACTCTTCTTGTCTTTAGGTTCCCAATCCCCTTCCCCACGCAGAGTAGCAAGTCAGCGATATACACACGCCGGCTAAATTCTCTGCTTTTCAATGAAGAGCTCTGTCTCTCTCTTCTCTCAAAACATAACCTTCTTCAGTGTCGTATAGGAAGGGAGCAGGAAAGGGAAGTCAGGGTGGAAGGAGAGACATGAGTGTGAGGGCGCAGAAAAAGAGGGAAGAAAGAATTAAGCATAAAGGTTAGGAGAGAGACATCAAAATAAATGCACAGAGAAAAAAGTATGTAGAAACATCAAAGAGGAAACGAGCAATAAACAGAAAGTGACACAAAAAATGAAAACAGAGAAAAGGGCAGAAATAGAAAAAAATGGTGGAAAAATCAAGGATGAACACAAAGTAAATTAAGTAAAAAGGACGCAAAAACAGAGAGAGAGGAAAAAAGGAAGAAATGGCGAATGAGAAAGAAAAAAAACCAGACGAAATGGCAAAAGAAGGCTGCTCAGTTTCCCACTTCTTGCAAGCTCGGCATCACTAGTGCAAAACCACCCCATCAGCTCCGCCATCTCTTTGAGATATGGCTCAAGCTGTAATGTTGCTTGTGGAAACCTTTGAAACTTGTGAACCACTGAAGAAGCTTCAATATTGCGAAAATATTGCTTTCGAATGCTCTATATAACTCCCTTCGGAACAAATGATGACAACATGTCAGTCTGCTTAAGCTGTTATTTTTTTTTTCAAAAGAAACCAACTAGATAGACCCACAGGAATATGTTTATACTGGAATGACACTGAGTTTTCTTCGTAAAGCCTAGCGTGATTATGTGTGCGTAACAGAAGTGGTATGAAATAGTATAGTATCTTGTGTAGCATATTCATGCTAGGCTTGATGAAAAACGTTTGTTTGTTCTTTGTATATTTATATCCAAATCTTCACTCGCGAAATGAGTCTCTTTTTCTTTAGAATTTCATTGAGAATATCAGTCACACGGTACACCGCATCTGCAGTGTTTTGTGACTTATGCTTTTATATGTAGAAGAAATATTGATTCGCATTTTAAAATATGTCTCATCATCCATTACAGCATCCTCGCAGGGAAAAGCTTCAAATGGTTTGTCCTTATTTATTCAGCATTATTTCAAAGGCAATTTACGGTTACTAATGATTTGGTGTTCTCGTGGAACAAAAATTGAGAAAAAAAGTGGTCCTATATGAATACCTAACTCTTCTTTTCTGTTCAAACCGAGATAATCACATCAATGTGTTTTCAGACAATTCATGTTAGATTTGTTAAAAATTACTGCAGTTTAGAGTTTATTACTATATTTCATACGCATAACGGACATCTCAAAACATGTGTACCAAATACAGCACGCACGCTGAAGGTATGTCTTCGCCCCCAGTGAATGCATTATTAGCTCCAATGGGTGCAATCGACGCGATAATAAATTGATACAGGAGGAAACTCACGTCTAGAACGCTTAGCTTTTTTACTGACATTACAATCGCGGAAAGTACTCAGTAGGTTTGTGCTAAATTATTCTTTTATCAGCTTGTCAGTCTTAAATTTGCATCAATGGAGTAGATCCAGAATACTGAAATAATATTATAAGAACTAGGAAAACTGCGCAAAAAAGAGACAGGAACTCAGAAGGCACATGCACTGCACTTGTGCATGTGCATTGGGTGTGCCTGTCTCTTTTTCGCGCAGTTTTGTTGTTATAGAACACCAATCTGCTCAGCGTTCAGTCCTCATAGTATTAAATATCTGAAGTATAATCTTTGCCTCCATTTTTCGCCACTTCAGTTTGCTATCATGCTGGTTTTCATTTTTGATTTTGAATATTAATGTACCAATGAGACTTTCAGGATATAAATAGATGCTTTTACACCCAGAAAAGTCTAGATCGTGTCGACCAATAAGCTTGATTCATAGGTCAAAGTACACACAACTTTATTCTTTGTGAGGAACTTTCCGCTACGTAGTACAACCTAGGGGCTTCCTAGCCGAGTCTGGTGCCCTCTTTGCATGCTAGCTCAACAGCCGTAGTGTGATCATGGGAATGGGGATGCGAAGTGTTTCCCACTTCTTCATTATGAAGCTTGACTACATGCGCTGTTCTCAGAATATGGCCAGACAGTCACTCGGGCAGATCCCCAGAACGTGATTTTATTGCGGTAGAAATTATATGGACACTCCCGGCTGGATTTTGCCACCGGCGTCAGCGTCGCCTTCACTCAACGTAAACGTGCACGTATCTATATAGATAAAGATGCAAGAAAGAAAAAAAATCCAGAAAAAGACTCCAGCACGTGGAATCGAACATGGGTCTTCAGACTCGCGAGTACGAAGCGTTAACCACTGAGCCACAGAGGGGCACGTCATCAACGGTCAAATAGCAAGCTATTTGTATCTACTACTTACCGCAGCTGTTGGGCGTCTCTGAAGGGGGAAATTATCGTGTTTTCAGCCTTACCAAAAACATGGCGCAATGAGCGCGCGTTGCCACATCGCGCGGCGGCACGCGCTCTTATCTCTCAGGCGTACTTTGTTCTGCTTAGAGCGGGGGGGGGGGGGGGGGGGGGGCTCTATCGCGTGCTCTTATTCTGCGGAGCGGAACATCGTACGTCTTGACTGGCCTCGGGCTTTGCCTGGAACGGTGCTGTTGTAGTTACCTGGCTCACAAAGGTCACTGCAATCATTGCAGTCTCTGTTTGCGAAAAGGGAGTGCTTTTTAGTCACAGTGAAGTAACAACTGAGACGCTTCTTCGCGTGCATCTGTAGCTATGTGTACGTTTCGGTCGTCATTTCTGCCTGAGAAACGCGGGGCACGTTTCGATCTGCTTTTCATTTTGCGCATGACCTTCCAATTTGTTGCTATCACGTTCATTGCTTCGCGTTCACGGCAAAGCTGTGAGTTTTTATTGTATCCCCTACAAAATTTGAAATGAGTCATTTCAAAGTTAGCCTATGGTTGTTTATTAAAAGGAAGCAATCTTAAGCTTCATAGTTGTCACTTTTAGCGAGCGAAGTTGGTACCTGACCATCTATTTATTTATCACAATGACAATGTGTTGAACGAACTTTGTAGTTCATGAGTAGTAGACGTTATTTTGTAGCCTTGAATTCAAGTGTTCGCTGAATATGGTGCAATCATTTGTTGAAGCAGTTTTTTGTGCGCGTGTTTCGCAGGTGCCTCGAAGGATCCTCCTCCACCTCGTGAGTTTTAGTTCCAAATTCACTACAGGTTTTCATGTTCGCACAACCGACGTTTGGCTAAAGTTTTGTGTTATAAATAGTAATACATTAATAAATGCAATAGGAGTGCTTTGGAAAACAAATATACCGTAGTATAACACACTGTCTTCACAAAGTGCAATGTTCCAGCTAAATTATTTGTTACCACTGGAAAAGTATGTGCTTGTATTTAAGACAAAGAGACAAGGAGGAAATAGCAGGAATGATTTTCGTGTAGTCGTAGTAAATGAATCAGTTCATTACATTTGTTTGGGTGTTTCAGTGTGTTACCTGTTGCATGTATGATGCAAGCAATGTGCAGGGAAGAAGAAGATAATGTTTTACGAATTTCGACGCTATAATTAAGTATGGGAACTGAAATTCTGGTATTGTAGTGATGCACTCACATTCTGCGAACTAGGGCAAAGTTTCCATGGCATTATTTTGAGTTTGGCAAAACATAATGGCCTAACTGCCTTTGTTTAAGACGACATATTAAGATAAATCATACAAAACATCATTATCTGCTCAAATACTACATTTTGAAGCCCATAGACAAGGGCTGTAGTTATTTACTTTGCTACAGGGCGAATTTCATAGACGATAAAGAATATTACTGTAGAGTCGCTCAACACACAACAAACTTTGATGTTTCACAGCGCACTCAAGGGCTATCACAAAGCTTACAGCACAAGTTTATTTTCTGTACCAATATTGATGGCATGGCATAGACCGTGGTACTTTCAGCGGATAGCAACAAAAAATAAACTTGGATGTTTTGTGAAGAAAGCATACGTAAAGAAAAAGTTTGAGCTTTCATGCTTCCGTCCATTCGCTAGCCAATATTATTGTGCTTTTAGTGTTTCTTGCTTTTCAGGTGCTAAAGCTTGCCTAAAGTGTTTGAAGCATTGGCGACTTTTTCACTGTTATGTCATTATCAGTTACTTTCTTGGCAATGTGACAACAGTTTACGATAGACGTTCTCCTTCTTACCATTTCCTCACGTGTCAAACGCAAACAACCACATATGAGACGTGCTTTCACATCCACTTCATTATCTTCATAAGCTTTAATTAGGCATGGAAGAATATAACATGACGAGCAGGATGACTGAGATAATATCACACGAACATAACGTCATGCAAGCCTGCACTGTTCTTACATAGTCTTTTTGCTCACGTAGCCATTCCGTCAACTTGATATATATCCAAATTTGCATCGAATCAAAGCGGAATGGTTACAATTGACAACATGAGAGAAGCTAGGTATTGAACTAGTTGATTCTTCATTATTAAAGAACTGCGTTACAGGTATGGCCAAAAACACAGTTAGGGAGAAGACATAACCCGAAATGGACAATACAAGCGCGAACTATCAACTGAATTTATTGAAAAAAGTTTACGCCATGAGCCTACGAGTAGCACCTGAAGACAATTCAGCATGATTTACGCTCCCACAACCCTGTACTTTCATCGTAAACCAATATTTCCCTCTCATGAACGTCCTCTTACCATCAAGTTTTTTTTTTCAGTGAATTCAGTTGATATTTAGCACTTTTATTGTTCACTTCTTTTTGTGTCGTCTCTGTAATCTTGTATTTCACACTACCTGCACCGCAGTTTTTTAATCACACTATCTACAAATCATCACATGAATATGGCGTTGAGAATGTCACATACGTTGCGAAATGCAAAAAAAAAAAATGTCTTGCGGCTCTAGTGTTCGTTTTATAAAATAAGCAGACACCTAAATTGGCATGACGTGACGCTTATGCACGAGCGACATTGACAGTGAGTTAAGACAAACCTATCATGAAATTCACACCTTGTACCTCATAACGCACATGACAAGGTGTCATCACGATGTCATGGTGTTCGTTTTATTTCCTTGCTAGGAGATCAGTGTAGCTCAAACAACGCAAGCGCATGATGAAAAAGAACGGCATTTGATGCCATGAACGTTCATAGGGCGCATTTTATCTGTTTAATAAGAGGAAGAGCACAAGTGAGATGATACAAACTTCATGATGCCTTCTGGGTTGCTTCATTGCTTCAGTGGGCACGTCGGCTGGCATCCAGCGAGCATCATGTTAAATCCGCTCCTGTTTTTCATGCAGCTTGCTCTGATCGCCTCGACTACCGAAGCCAGCACAGCGATCACGGTATCTACGCCTGTTTCACGAGCAATCCATGGAGACTGCGCGGAGGAATTCCTAAGCCTGGGCACCGACTGGGGACACCCGTGCGCAACCTCGTCGATAACAACGAGCCAAGATATAAACGCCCCATTTCCTTCGGATTTCTTCAGTGGGCACGTCGGCTGGCATCCAGCGAGCATCATGTTAAATCCGCTCCTGTTTTTCATGCAGCTTGCTCTGATCGCCTCGACTACCGAAGCCAGCACAGCGATCACGGTATCTACGCCTGTTTCACGAGCAATCCATGGAGACTGCGCGGAGGAATTCCTAAGCCTGGGCACCGACTGGGGACACCCGTGCGCAACCTCGTCGATAACAACGAGCCAAGATATAAACGCCCCATTTCCTTCGGATTTCTTCAGTGGGCACGTCGGCTGGCATCCAGCGAGCATCATGTTAAATCCGCTCCTGTTTTCATGCAGCTTGCTCTGATCGCCTCGACTACCGAAGCCAGCACAGCGATCACGGTATCTACGCCTGTTTCACGAGCAATCCATGGAGACTGCGCGGAGGAATTCCTAAGCCTGGGCACCGACTGGGGACACCCGTGCGCAACCTCGTCGATAACAACGAGCCAAGATATAAACGCCCCATTTCCTTCGGATTTCTTCAGTGGGCACGTCGGCTGGCATCCAGCGAGCATCATGTTAAATCCGCTCCTGTTTTTCATGCAGGTTAGTAACAATGCTTCCACAATTAAATCTAATGACATTTGCCTTGTCCAGCTGACGTGCCCACGTAGACTTATTGAAATGTACTTTACTGCCTGTGACTTCGTCTTGTCGCTACTCATGCTATGTGGTGACGTCGAGCCTAATCCAGGGCCTACCACTCAGCAGGTTCTAGCTGAACTACTTGAGGGCCAGAAAAATATTCAACAAAGGCTGGGGGATATTGAGGTCAAACTGCAGAAAGTTGATGAAGCTACATCTGCGATAAATGAAATCAAGAATTTGACGCATGACATTGATTTACGAGTTACAGTTTTGGAAAGAAAGCTTGTTGACCTAGAAGATTACAGGAGGCGTAACAACCTAATTATTTTTGGTATAGCTGAAAAACCAAAGGAAACGTATGAAGAACTGTCGCAGCTTGTGTTGAAGGAAGTGTTCTCTGATAAATTAGGTATAAAAGTTACTTCGGCAGAAAAAATTCACAGATTGGGTCGGAATCAACCTAACAAGCATCGACCGGTTATTATCAAACTGTTCGATCACCGTGAGAAATTAAACATACTAAAACATTGCTTCAGACTAAAGGGCAGTAGCTACTCTGTATCGGAAGACTACTCCCCTACTACAAGGCAAGCACGCAAGAAACTATGGCAAAGCACTGCGGAACTTCGGAGGGCGGGTCAGAAGGTAAAGTTAATCTCGAACAAAATTAAGATTGGTGAAGAACTATTCACCTGGGATGATGCGCATGACGAGAGAATCCCGGTGCACGATAGCAGAGATAAGACAAAAAGAAGGCAAAGAAAGCAATGAACTGACACCAGACACAACGAATCAGAAAACCTAACGCTTCTGTGTTTGAACGCCCGCAGCCTTGTAAATAAGTTGATTGACTTCAGTTGCCTAGTACAGTGTCATAGTCCATCAATTATATGCGTCACTGAAACCTGGCTTAATGAATCCATCTCTGAAAACGAATTTCTGCCCTCTGGTTACTCGGTCATTCGAAAAGACAGGTCGACTGGTAGAGGTGGTGGCGTTGCGCTCTTTATCAAAAACGACATTGAATATACAACACTGCCTGATCTCCTCGAAACAGAGTCTGTCTGGTGCAAGATCAGGGTATGCGGCGTGTTTATAGTGATTGGAACTGTTTACCGGCCACCAAGTGAAGATGACCATTGCATATCGGCAATCACGGACTATATCGTTAAGCAGAGACTACTTGACAGCAAACTGATCCTATGCGGGGACTTCAATGTACCCCACATTAACTGGGAGTCTTTCACCACGACCGGCCGTGACAAAGTTCTCTGTAATTCAATGATTGACTTCGCTGTATCCCATGATTTTACTCAAGTTGTTCAAAGTCCCACCAGGGGTGGTTCAATCCTGGACCTTGTTTTTGTTACAGCTGACCTTTTGAATGATGATTCAGAGTGCGAGGTTGTAGAAGGTATCTCGGATCACAATGCAGTCTTTGTCCAATTTTCTATTCACTACGAACTTAAGAAACCAGAATACAAAGTTCTTACTGATTTCTCACGTGCCAACGATGAAGGCGTACTTTCCCTGCTAGCAGATTCTTATGCAAATTTTCTTCTTTCTAGCAACAGTTGTGGTGTAAATGAGTTGGTGGAACACTTCGGCACGATTGTGTCCGACTGCATATCTAAATTTGTTCCAAACAAATGCGTGAAGCGCAATCCTAAACACCCATGGTATAACCGAGAAATAGTACAGCTTATTCGCCGCATAAAGCGACTACGTCGCCGATGCCGCTCTAGTCCAAACCACCAATTCACTTTGTGTACGTTAAAGGTAACACTCAGAAATAAAATGCACGAAGCTAGAGATTTCTATTACAATAACACGCTGTCAACGTTCATTAGGGAAAATCCGATCAAATTTTGGAAGACAATTAATCCACCCTCCAGGAGAACCTCCTCTTTCATTATAGAAAACGAAATATGTTCAGATGCTCAGACGATCTCGGAGGCCTTTAATAGTTATTTTAAGTCTGTTTTTACCACTGATAACGGTAAAGTTCCTTCTTTTGTCGCACCCTCTGTATCGGTAGCTATTTCGGATATTGAGTTAAGCTGCTCTGGAGTTCGTAATCTCTTACTCAACATAGATATTACTAAAAGTGCTGGCCCGGACGGTATCCCTAACGCTTTTCTGAAAAGGTATTCTGAATGGTGTGCACGATACCTCATAATTATATTCCAGAAATCGCTTGACTCCGGACGGGTCCCGCGAATTTGGAAGATCGCTAATGTTGTTCCTATTTTCAAATCGGGTAAGAAGGAAATAATTTCTAACTACAGACCAATCTCATTATTATCCACGTGCTGCAAGCTACTCGAGCACATCATTCACAAGCACATTATTCAATACCTAACTGACAACAGTATCCTTTCAGAGCATCAGCATGGTTTCCGCTGTGGTTTTTCGACTGTCACACAATTGATCGAATTTACACATGACATCGCCTCATCACTTAATAACCACGAACAAGTCGATGCCATTTTTATTGATTACTGCAAAGCTTTTGATAAAGTATGTCATAAAAAACTTCTGCTCAAACTTGGTAACCTTCTTACAGGCCCAAATGCTGACAAATTACTTGATTGGATTACAGATTATTTGTATTTGAGGAGTCAGTTTGTTCGCTACAACCATGAACAGTCGTCACAAGCTCATATTTCCTCAGGTGTTCCACAAGGCTCTGTCTTGGGACCCCTTTTATTCATAATTTACATTAATGATGTCACTCAGGTTGTCATTAACACTCCAGTTAAGCTTCGCCTATACGCCGATGACTGTGTATTGTATTCCAGTGTACGTAGCGTCGCTGACCAAGTTTTGTTGAATGATGTGTTTTCTTCCTTTTGCGAATGGAGTAGAACTTGGCAAATGGAGCTTAATTTTCCGAAAACTGTGACAATAACTTTTACAAATAAAAAGGAGCCATTGCAATTTAGATATGGCGACTCCAATCACATTCTGGAAAAAGTTCAGGAATTTAAGTATCTTGGTGTTGTATTCTCTCCAAACTTGAAGTGGCACAGACACATCGACCTTATTTCTGCAAAATCGCTAAAGAAATTAGGTTACTTAAGAAGAACGCTAAAGGGCGCCACAAGGGAATGCAAGCTTATAGCCTTCAAATCACTGGTCAGGCCTCTTCTTGAATATGCGTCTGTTGTGTGGTCACCACATCTTGCAATTGACATAAACAAACTTGAGGCCATCCAGCGAAAAGCGATAAGATTCATTTTTAACCGTTATGACCGTGATTTCTCCCCTTCTGAGCACTACCGTGCTTTATCGCTAAACTGTTTAGAACACAGACGTATGTGTGATCGGCTTACCATGCTACATAACATCGTGCACAATTCCGTCCGCATAGCCACACCCATTTCGTTCACCAATCATCCCACCCAGGTGACTCGCCGATACAATCCGTTGAATATTGTGCCATTCAGATGTGTTATTGATTGTTATAAATACTCTTTTTTTCCGTGCACAGTTGACACTTGGAATAATCTGGACGCTACTTTAAAACGACTACCGCATGCGCTGTTTGTTGAACAAGTGTCCAATTATGTAAATTGATGTTCTTAATTCTGCAGTGGTTCCTTTTGCTTGATCATTTATTGTTTGTTGAACAGGTGTCTAATTATGCAATTTTTATATTTTTTATTTAATTGTGACGTTTTTGTTCGTTTGTTGTAACCACTCCTGCAATGTCTCAAACATGAGACAGCAGTATCTGTAAATAAATAAATAAATTAGCATACTATATACAGTAATGTACATGAGTACGCGACAAATATGCGAAGACATTAGCCTGTCATGAACTGTATGCCTGTACTTGTCTTTAGGCCAAACCCTGTGATATGGGCCTATACTCGCTTACTGCTTCGTGGGTCTTCCTGTTTAACGTTTTTTTTTTCTATAACAACCATTCATTGCATTTTCTTTTCTGATATTGGTAGTAAGTAAGAGTTTTGTAAAATTCAGTTATTACTTGTTGTAGAGTGGTGTTACAGTAATCTGTCAATCATGACGTTATATATCTCTACAAGTCACTATATAATGTGTTTTTTTTCTCTGCGTTAAAGCTGCACCTGGATGCGGTGAAGTGAATGGGCAAGGTGGAGGTGAGTTTTTCAGTGTGCTTCACACTCAACACATGTAAAGTCGAACACACTTTTAAAAATATTCTCTACAACAAAGAGGTCTCGCTGCTGGATGTCCGTGTCTAATAGTAACTCAATATAAAGTGCTTCAAAATGAAAAAGAAAATAATAGAAATTCAAGCCGCCGTGCCCTTACCCCCCACGCCAGCAGCCACTGCGTGCTCATAGGGCCTGTATGTAATGTTATTTGTATTAAAAGTCTTGCGTGCCTCTCTACACTCTTACAATATAAAGAAAATTATTAGGCTATTCCACATAAAGCGCAAAACACCAAAGTGATGGCTCACTGAAAGCTACGGAGTAATAACGCTCGTGCTAGGAACAAGCAATGCGTTTTTGTGGCATTCCTAACGATCTCACAGAAAGAGGCAACAGTGGACGGTTGTGCGCAGCATGAGTTGTCCCCTGTTAAAAGAGCCCAGTGCCCTTAAAGAGGCGCTACGCGACACACACTACTTTGAAATTCACACATTATCGTAATTGGGTTGTCACGTATTATGTCGTACTCACTTATTCTCCTGCCACCTGCTTCTAACACGTTTCCTTGCGCTTACAGTACCTATTTGCAAAGGCGTCGTTGCACTCGCCCCATGACGGCACCAGCCATAAGCACCCCGTTTGGAGTTTTTATATTCTTCACCACATAAGTGTTTAGTATGGGAAAAAAGCCATGTTTCAAAATCAACTACAGCCATAACTGAATCGACACACAAAACGCTGGTTTGAGCATGATAATTAGCAATGCACTGATACGTTGTATAGGCTAGTAGGTATTGTCACCGACTGCCGTCCCAAGAGCAGTTAACAAACAATCATCTATAATATATACCTGTGTTGGGTGAAATATGTGACTGATATGAATGGCGATTAAAAAAATAACACTCATTAAGGATGCATTCATAGCGTGGGTAAAAGAATTACTGCAGTCATGCAGGCAAGACCACAATGAATGAGAATCTGAGGAGCCGAGAACTAACGCACATTGGGGTTCTGTTTTATTTTCAGCGTGTTAGTACACAGTTTCCCACAATTGCAAAATGTGAAATGGCTATGCATTTGCGCATGTGTTTGCACATGCGTTCCAAGATAAACCTTGCTAAAAGCCACCAGCGGTTCATAAGTTTGTAATTATTTGGTTATATTTACTTGTTATATACCTGATATTCAAGTACCACCTTTCACATTTTCTTAACTGATCGCCTTTAGAGCCGAGTATTATGAATCATATTTTCTTGATGATAAACATACACTCCAGTGAAACACTACATAGTTTTCTGTGTGAAATTCAAGAACAAAAGTATTCTTTTGACACCTACCATATCTGTGACATCTCACGTCCATGCCAAAGTGCAAAAAAAAAAAAAAAAAACTCAAATGTATTTCTTTTTCAACTTGGACTTTTGCAGCCACGAACTCTTCGACGTCAAGCACAGGTATGTAAGGAAGTTTTCTTGTTTGTGATCTTCGCATAGCAGACACCCCCAAAGCATGGTCACTTGATTGCGAAGGTGCATAGGGAAGATTGTAGGCGAAAAACAAAACAATAGATTGTCACTAGTATTGCTGCTCTGAACTGGTGTGACTTTAGAAGCACCCTATTTCGCATTCATATTCCGTGTCACATAAAACCAACATAATTGTCTCACCTAATCATAGGTGCTGTTGGAGTGGGTACGCTGTCATTGGTGAACAATCTGATTCAGCGTTCAAGCTATCTTTCCTACTATAAGGAGATATAAAGTAATATTTCTACAACTAAATCAGTAATTCTTTTTGGCAAGTTTGCTTATATTATACCCATAGGATGCTGCTGCGAATAATTTGCGCCAGCCATGGAAAAATGAGTATCCTTCATAAAGTGTTCATTTGGTGATCCTAGTTTTAGTTTAAACATTGTAAATATCAATGGTCTAGTTTTCTAATGCCTTTTCGCCTTCTGTCCGAGTTGAAATTAGAATGGCCAGCGTGACCACGTTACCAGTCGGCTCTATGCCATTACCACAATTAAGCTCTCGATATGCTGTGGCAAGCAGCAGTATATAAAACACTCATTGCATGCCTTTCTTGTTACTAGTTTCGGTAGAAAACCACTGCTGACATTTGGTTGCTCGCCTAAGTGTTGAGTAAAGTGTCACCATTGGCATGCTGAAAAAGTGCTCGACTCATGAAAATTATTTTTATTGCAAATCGTTAAAACCACCACGTCATCTTTTGCAACTAAAATGCTCCTCGAATATTTCGGAAAACGAAGGGGCTAGTAAGTTTTTGATACTATATACACCCTAAAAAAAGCTCCTTGATTCTCACAGCAGACGACGGTGATTGCGTTTGAATAAAATTGCACCACTTGAGTAAAATCGAGCCTGTCGTTCTGTAAAAGAAAGGCTTACTTTCAATAAACCGACGCCTGGCTCTTTGGGTTGCTAGTACAGCGCGCGAATCGAAGGCAGAACAGTTCATAGTCTTCCACCTTGTCTTTTTCCAAAATTACATGATAATGATATGCAGGGTTTAACGTCCCAAAATCGCCATATGTTTATGAGAGACGCCGTAGTGAAGGGCTCCGGAAATTTCGACCTACTGGGGTTCTTTACCGTGCACCCAAATCTGAGCACAGACGCCTACAACATTTCCGCCTCCATCGGAAATGCAGCCGCCGAAGCAGGGATTCGATCCCGCGACCTGCTGGTCAGTAGCCGAGTACCTTAGCCACTAGACCACCACGGTGAGGCTTTCCAACATTACATGCCGCGCAAAATTTCTATTTCGAGAAACCTTTCCCACGACACTTTTGATACACCTGTGTAATTTGTGTCGCATGAGCGGTGATAAAATCTTGCACATGGGTAACATTGAGTTATACCGAACTCGTTTATTGCTCCTTTCCAGCAAGAAATAGCGCATTAAAAATGGCGATGCGAGTTTTCACCAGGCAGTGCGCATTTTTATTTGCCGTGCTCTGAGACTACCGGCAGAAGCTGCAGTGATCGAGCGAAAGCCTCCAAGATGAAGGTGCGCCCCTAAGCTTGAACGCTCGTTAAAAATACATGGCTCACCAGTGCCTCATATGCCTGTCACGTTGTCGTTCTGGTTTACACAACGTGCAGGTTCTCTTATTTTTAGAACGTCAGTGGCGTGGCTTAAGGAAGAGACCACCTGAAAACTACATGCATAACCAGACACACGCTATAACGCAAAACACGAACAAAGGGAGAACGTTACAATACTGAAATAACCCACTTAACGCCGGAGGAAGAGTGACTAGGAAAGACACAAACTACATGCTTAGTTTCTATACACGCAGTTCCGGATTACTCAGTTCTAAGCGTTCAGTTGGTCGTGGAGAGAAAGGTAGCCATGATGCTGATCTCTCCAAAGTCAGTCCTCAGGAAAATGCCTTGGAGCGAAGCATGGCGACCGAATGAAGGATGCCGTCGGCGTCCAGCGGCTCACGGATATGCGATAACTGGCAGCTTCCTAGGAAACATGTTGATGGCGGTGTCTAAGTGCTGACTCCGAGGATTGGTTCCAGCCGCATAGCGGCGCCATAGCTTGGCTCGAAGTGCTGTGTTCATTAATACAGAAAGTTTTTTTTTTCCCCAGCAGCAGCGCACTAGCTACCCGCCATCAGAAACTGCAGGTACTCACTATATAGTTCGCTCAGGTCTCGGGTAGATTCAGGTGAGGGATGGGTGGAGTATGGGCATCTAAGTATCGTGATCGTACTTCAGGGATACTTTTGAGTACTTATATATCTGTATAAATGCATGTTTAGATATCAATTTGTATCTCGATGGTGAAATCCTTTCACGTTGTATTGATTGTATCGCGATCCCATGCAGATCAAAGTATCCCTCTAGGCTTGTTCTGTTGGAAATTAATTAATTTATATATTTTCAATACTGTTGACCACAGTTTTAGAGTCATTACATAGGTCATATTGCAGATGGAATTCATTCATACAGAGCGAAGAAACAATATAAGTAACATACCAATAAATAACGTTATTGGTAAACAAAAACAAAATACAAGAAACACTGAATTCTCCTCCATACAGTGAAAAACAAGAAAATATTCATAGCAAAATTTGTTATAGACTGTTAGAAAATATTTGTATATGTAGCGCATCTGTAATATCGGCAAATTATCATTACCTATTTTGCGCGAGAAAAACTATTTCGCATTTTATTTGCTCTAGAAAAAAAAAAGAGCAAAAAATATTGAAACAAGGGGCATCAATTTCAAAAACCGAATTTTTCTGTATGCATGATATGATAAGAGCAGGACAAATGACTGTGACTGAAATAATAATATGCGCAGTTTTCTAGCAGCAAACTCAGGAAACTGCTGATTTTCGCATACCATGCCAGGCATTCGAGAGATGCATTCAATTAGCAAAAAAAAAAGAAAAAAAAACGAAAAAATATTATCTTTATTTTACCAGACGAAGGCGAAATGGTTGGCCTGATCAAGTACTGTGTGGCCTGCTACAGCGCATGAGCTCAGGCGTGTTTCCATAAAAGAAATGAAGTTTTCTTTTTCCTTTTTTATCTGTGTGCCAAGAAAACGAACGATACGCACCTGGAAGATCACATAAAAAAGGCGGTGTCGGTTGTCCGCGGGTCAAGCAGAGAATGGTGCATGTGATCAAGCGCGGAAGATCGCTGATGGCGCAATAGTGGTGGCTATGTTGTCGGCCATCCCGGCCGTGGTAGCCGCTCTTCTGATTAATTGATTGATATGTAGGTTTTAACGTCTCAAAACCCGCACTTTTGATGGAGGCGAGAATGATTGAGGCCCGCGTGTTTATTATAACGTGCACGTTAATGAACTTCGGGTGGTATATTTTTTCAGAGTTCTCCACTATGGCGTGTCTCATATTAATATGATGGTTTTAAAATGCTATAATCTAACAATCCTTATTTTATTATGACTTCACCCTTAGCCAGTGAAAGTAAAAAATCTCTAGGTCAGTGCTGCACGCCCAATTTTTTCGGGTGGCAATTCATTGTTTCGTTACCCGCCGCCCGGAAACGACCTTGGAGCAGACGCCTCGCAGCGCTTCGCGCGCGTCAAGTTCTCACAGGTGGCACTTACAAAGCAGTTCCCGTAGTATAGAGATGGCTAGTAAGTAGCTATGTTTGTCGCGTTTTCAGCCACTCCTCCAGCCTGTAAGCGTACGTCACTAAGTAATTTACAAGTGTGTTGTTGTTGTGTCTACAACGTAGGCGATTTCGCCGGTGACTGCTGGCTGAAAAAAGGTTCTGCTAGCATCGGTGAGGATGAAAGTATTACTGAAGAGTAACCCTTTGAGCCCAGATGAATAGTTACCTTACTTTACCACTTTTGTAGTGCATAATTAGCACAGAGGGTACTGTGAGAAATAAATACAAGATGAATGAAAAACCTTTGAATATGACCACTTGAGACATTATTCAAACAAGAAGCTGCACTCAACAGAAGTCTTTGGGGAGTGTGAGCATACCCTAATAAAAAGATATATGTTGCAATATCTGCCTTCCTTTGTCTGCATTCTTGTTGTTTTTTTTTTGCAAAAGTAGCTTTGAAATATGCCGTTCAGTGAAAGGCTAATGCCCCACAGTGGCTCTATTTCAGGCTTCTTGCATATGTATTTCGATATCGATATTTAGGAATGCTTTTATGAGTATCTGTACTCAGCCCTGACTCAGGTAGACGCCTTGTGTCGGGTCCCAAACCCGACGGCCGAGACGCGTGGCTGGTCTTTTCCGATGCTTTCGTGCGACTACTTTTCACCCTCGATTTACTCCGCTTCCCTCTATTCGCAATGCTCGCAGTTGTTTTCTGCAAATGGCATTCTGTTTTTTTATCCTTCTCACCTTTCCCGTGTCACCCGCGTCAGTTTTTTTTGTTGGTTGAAATGGTCATTTCACTCTGCTTACTTAACCACAACTCTCCCTATCGCGCTTTATCATTGTGATGCGGTGAAAGGAGGTGCAGTGAAGTACGTGCGCACGTAGAAGGAAACTTCCTCAATCTTTGGCTGCGCGCCAATGACGCACTCAGTGACGTGAAGCTACGATAATCAGCTAGGCATTGTCTAAATAAACGCCAACCACTAGCCCTCTCCGCTGTGAGAGGTGGTTAAAAAGGACGAGCTAGAAACTGAAACCAACTGAAGTCAGTCGTCCTGTGGCCTATAACTTTCTTGTTACAGCGTTTTGCAAGGTTCACGTTGCAGCATGTCTCAATGCACAAGTGTGCATTTGTTCAAACAATAAAATGTCTTGCCACAAGGTTGTGTACAGGCTTTTCTAGAAGCATAATTTCAAATCACTGGTATCTAGCTTGAAATACTCTATAATTTTCTGTGTGATGTATTCGACAAAATTGGTATTCGATACGTTTTATTATTGCCAAAAGAGAAAAAAATTTCGAGTCTTCCCAATAGCTCGCAAATATCATCATATTCAATTTTTTAAAATATTGTAACGAATATTTAGCTAAGCAGTCTTTTCTTACCCAATAATGATTGAAAAAAAAGGAGGAATGCCTCTCGGTGCTCCTGCCTGGAAGACGTATTCCCATTTGGCTAAAGAAACAAAACTGAGAATGAAATTCGTAGACAAGTTTTTAGGATCTCGAATGATATTGTTGTTCATGTGAGCTTGTTCTTGATCTTCGCACTAGAAGCTAGTATTGTAGTAGTACAGTTGCAATATTGTAGAATTGAAATATTGATAAGGAAGTGTTTTCACTACATTTCGGAAGATCAGGTGACCTACAAGGGCAGACATCTGCATTTGCCATTCGTTCCTTAAACTTACCCGATGTTATTGGAATCTCGTATTTAATATTATATTATCTATGGTGCAATAGACAAATACACTATGATTTCATTGATCACGCATGCCAGGGAAGACACAGCCATCATCAAGCACAACTAAACGTAAGCGCATGTAACTTGTTCCCTCTATTGTGTATTTTGACAGACCCGAAAGCAAAGTCTTTTCCTCATATTGCTTATTCTTCTGAAGGATTTGATAACTTTGGTCAAATTAATAAATGTTATTTTTATGAAAAGAATAGTACATCAGAGAAACTACTGCTGCATTTCCGTTTTAATCGCCGCATTAACTTGAAAAGAAGGAGGAATAAACTTTATTATAATAAATCAGCAGGTTTAGGTGGCCGAGCCTAAGCCTTCCATGAGGGGACGTCAAGGACTTGCCTCGACGCCACCTCACGGGCGTGCTGGGTCGCCCAGGTTCGGTCGTAAAAAGCGGGGCTCCGCAGAGCCTCATGAAGCTTCGACGAAAGGGTCGTGGTGTTAGTGTAACAATGAGCGTTTTCCTAAAATCAACTCGTGCGTGCTCTGTCAACCCCGAAAACAAAGTGTTCAAAATCCCACGTGACATGCAGAATTGTACATCGACAAAATGTCATTAAGTATGCAGGAAGAGGATTATTTCAAGTGGCAGGTACACCATTTTTACACTGACTAAAAAGTATACTACTCATTTTAATGAACGACCAAAAGGTTATACAAGGTTTATACCATCAGGTAGATCTAAAACAATCTGCCCTAACATTTGACCACAACCATTTCTCAACTTCTTGAAGGGGTATTCAGTCGTCGCTATATTCAAAGGCGCGCATGCAGCTGGGGCACTTTCTATTGACATTCTGGCTGACGCCAAGAGCTGTTATAGAGTAATGCAAAAAAAGCGATATGCTCTAACCGACAACGCCGTCTTTAGAATTAAATATAAGTTGGAAGGGGGCATGCGTATACAGTGTTACGCATTTGCTTCCGCGTTTGGAGCACTTCCTAATAGCAGGCTTTTTTTTCACACTTCTGTTCTTTACATCTCTTCAACATATGCATTGCACATTACACAGAAATTTTAAGTTTAGAGAGTCGCCAGCTCGAAAACCACTTCTGTTTGCGAAATGGTTGGAATCCTGTGAACCGGCGTTTTCTATATAGGAGGAGCCGATAAAAACAAATGCTACTCTTAATGCCGCTTCGCCCTTAGTTGAAACTAATTTTTTTCTTGACTCCCTGCCAGCTACGGCCCCACCATCAACGTCTACTACATCGTCAACCATGACCACACCGTCAACCACGACCACTACGTCTCCGTCAACCTCGACCACACCCACAACCACGACCACATTGTCGACGACCACCACGCGAGGTAAGCGGAGAACGAAACATAAATACTAAAATCGACTTTCAATTATTTGTACATGGCTTTTACAGTCACAAATAATATAAGAAATATACAACACAAAATTGCACGAAACAAATTTTTGATGGTGTTTCTACTAAACAACAACACAAAGTGTAGCAAGTCATTGCTAATTTGCAGATTGTGGCATATAGTACTTGCGCATTGTTTACCTTTACGTGTTAGACTAATACATCCTAATATTCGCAAGTCAAATTGAGACAGAAGATATAATGGCGTAAGTTTCACGTCATCCCACTTCTGAAACAGCATTACGCAGGCTCTCACGCACTGTTTTTAGGAGGTGGAGATGGGAGGAAGCCGTCACATTTGTAATGTTATCAACACCATACTGAGGTAAAGCAATGCTGCATTGATCTCTAGGCTTTCACGTCCCCAAAAATAAGGTACCATTATGAGGCATGCCCATCTGGTGTTCTTTAACGTACACTAACATAGACCAGCACACGGACCTCCAGCACTACGGCTATACCGAAATGAGACCACTGCATCAGGGATCCCACCCTTGACCTTTAAGACAACAGCTGAGCGCGCTAATAACCGATCCAGAGTGGCGGACAAGCCTTTGGTAAAACACACTGCACAGAGCACTTTATCAGTGGCGTTTGTTTTTAACACGAGAGTGTTTTATGTAACGTGCAGCATGGCTACGCTGACGTTTTTTTTTATTACAGATATGACGTTGTAAACTATATAAAACAGACTGTAAAAAAATTAAAACGATATGTGAATACTTCGCCTCGGGGCGTCGAACCAGCGACCTCTCGAATAGCAGCGCGCTGTGCTAACCAATACGCCCCTGTGGACATCCAGCCAGGAGCAGTAACAGCAAGCCATTTATATACAGGGTGTCCCACATTACTAGAGCAATGAATTTGAAAATAAAAAACACTTCAGTGGTGAATTGAACAAAACGCGTACTACTCGCACTAGCCTGGAGGTACTCAGGCTATTTTTATTTCTTCCAATACTAATTAAATAATAATCTTTAATTACCTATTTTTTCTTTATGGACTGGAAACCCAAAATTTGAACCCTGATATGTAGAGAACTTTCAGAAACCACCGACGAAAATGATCCCTGTACGATATGTCGGTCACACGGCTTTTTTTTTTCACGTATCGCGGGAATTCTTTAAAACGTAGAAAAAGTAACAGCACGGGGCGTATCGTACAGAAAACAATTTATTCAGTGGTTTCTGAAAGTGCCCTACATCTCAGTGTTCATGTTTTGGGCTTCTAACTCATAATTAAAAAAGTAGGTAATTAAGAATTAATAATCAATTCGTATCGGGATAAGTAAAAAATAGCCTGAATACCTTCAGACTAGTGCGAGTAGTATGCGTGTGGTTCGCCTTTTAAGTGCCTTTGACTTTCAAATTCTTGGCTCAAGTTATGTGGGACACCCTGTACACAAGATACGATTTGGCGATGCTTATAGATTAGCAGATTCGGTGAGTTTTTGTCATCAGTAGTGATAAGGCGCGACAAGCGTGCGTTGGGCCCGCTCTCAAGGCAGTCACCCCTCGCGTTCTGGACATCGCCGCCACCACGCGGAGCGTGATCTCTCCTGCATGCGCACTATCAGACTCGTGTTGCGAGTTGCACGAAGGTCACTTCGCTCGCTGCCATGGCCGCATTTACGAAAGAAGCACGCTGATCACCCACACAGACGTGAAAATTGTAACAGTTGTTCGCCCCAATATTGTGTGTACTTGTGCCTTCGTTTCGTGCGCTTTTCTTTGTGTTTCTACAGGGTACCTTAAGTGTCAAGCTGTGCCTGCGCCAGTTGTTAGTCTGCGCTTGTCCCGTGTATGCTCATTTCGTGGGTGCTTTCTGCGCGAGGTGCACGCTGGAAGCTTGGAGCTATTGCCATTTGTCGTTCTTCGCGTTATTTTGCAGTTTGTTGCTGTAGCATTCAATTGTTCCGCCTTGCGGTGAATCAATGCTTAATAAACACTCATTGACCTCTGGGAAGACAAGTTTCATTTTGTTTTTTACAGATTTCTAAAAAGAAAGATCAGCCGCATTTTTCGTATATCTCCTTCGTTGATTCCTAATTCACCCGGGCAATGTGGCAGGCAAACTAACTATGCCTCTGGGGTCATTTCTAAAGTATTAGAGTGAATGCTGAATAAAATATTCTTATGGTTTTCTTTTCGAGAGACCTAAAGCACGCATCGCTTCTACGGAGAGATATACTCAGCCGCCACTATTTTTACCGCAACAGTGAATTAATAGCAGCACCTCGAAACTTATTCCACAGTGCAGCAAATAAACCACTTCTTTAGATTTAGATTGTTAGCATGTGGCATTTGGAAATTTGGATTTCAAGTGCTCGTGTGGGGCAGTATACAATCACTGCAAGAGTTGTAATCATTTTCATGAGATTAAGCAAACCATGTGATTTTTTACATGAAATACAAATTGACATGCTTTTGCATTAGGTCGTCAGGTACCGCAGCTAGTGTTAAATCGCAAGCCAGCGTTTCTCCATCTAGGGAATGGAAAAAACTAAATCCTAAAGTGTTTTCAATAGCCGTAGTTGGGAACGTTTGTTTGACGCCATGCGTCACCATAGTTTTATGCAAACTGACTTCATTTTCGAAAGTGCGGTTGTAAATCGGGCTGTCCAGTATGTTGTTTGTATTGTACTTCTCCGCATGAACGTGGTTGTAGAATTGATAGAAGCAGTTCACTATTCACAACATGGTACGACGCTCATCTTCCATATATTCCAGGGGTCTCAAACACACCTTTGTTAGCGGACCGCAGTAACGAACATTGCTCTCGCATGTGCTTTGTCACTAAAGAAGTTTGATACGGCCGAGGGAGGAGGGGGGAATGAAAAAGACCTCACTTAACAACTGAAATTTGAAAGATTGAATTTCCGTTTGATGTATGAGATGTTATATAGGATAGTATGACGTCAGGACACCGAAAACATATAGAAACTTATCTTCACAAGTACACAAATCTGGACGCTGAATCTGGAATAAATATTTTGGGCTATGGCTATGTTACAAGACATACTGGTCTAATAAGGTGCCCCACAAAAAACAAAAGGAGGCTTGAGACGCCACCATGATCCCGCCCCGACTCACGCGTCGCCTACAGTAGCGGCTGCTGGTATGTCCCTCGTGGACACCCCTGTGGCTTAAACTCCTCAGGAACGCCTGATAAAGTTCTTAACTGACTGACTGACTGAGACAAGTCTGGTACATGTTGGTTATCCAATCAAAGTGCCAATAATTGAATTAGGTTAATGAATTACTTGAGTGGCATTAGAACTAACAAACGTTCTATGCACTGTGAAGTCGCGACAGACCTTACTACATCCAGATAGTAGTGTTGTCTTGTATCACTCTATGCACAGTATTCTTACGTCTCACTTGCCAGATTTTCGCCATGAAACTACGAAAGAAATTCTCTCCAGAGGTCAGGTGTTACAGCTGTAGAGCATATTTTTAAATGAGTACCTTAATAGTGCTTAGTAAAAAAAAATCTAATGCAACACTGCGCACTTGGATATATGAAACGTAATTTTTGTTGTTGCACACTGACATTTAAATAGCCAATACTTTTAAAGATGTATAATTCGTTCAATGTTAGCAGAGTGTACGAGAGTTATAAACTCTGAACTAGGCAACAGCATGAAATTAGGCAAAGTCTTATATAAGTCAGACATATCACAATGTAGACGCCGACAAGAAATTAGTGGTCTACAGATACAATAAATCTTAAAACCAGTCCTAAAATGCACAGACTTATTACACATATGAACAAAAAATTATATGCCTCAAGGGCCAGTCTATGTAAAAACTAAAAAAAATCTCATTACACAGAACATCATCAGCGTTAGTTTGTCCTCATATTCACTCTTAGACCTTAAATCACATAGCACGGAAAAGCAGCCAACTAACTTTGTTCAGCTGAACGTCTCCCGCGTACAAGAGGTTCATCCTTACTTTAACATGTAGGTAGCTCGTTCAGAGAAATCCGTCAGGGAGACATAGAGATGTAATTAAAGCACGTAATCAGCCAATACGCCATGCGATTCTTCATTACGTACTCCATTTAAATGACACTGCGATGACAAGCCTTGTTTTACATATTGTTATGCCTGCGAGTCGACACCGAACGTCCATGCCTCTGAAAAAGGCAATCTGTGTCAAGGCCAGCACGCGAGCCCGCCTGATGCGAACAACTGAATGGCGTCATCACGCAGCGGTGCCTTTCTGCTCGCGCACGCACAGCGAGCCCGCCCAAGCAATCGGTGCCTTCCTGTCTGGCGAGTCTGACGCAATGCGTGGCGGCGTCACTCGTCCTTGGGTGCAGCCACCTGCAGCGAAGCGGCTCCAGATTCGATGAGAATGACGCGGCCCAGTGGCGACCCCACTGGAGGATTCTGACCTCACGGCCAGCGGCGCTTCTGGTTGGACATTTTGTTAATCAAAGAATCCTCCCGGTGCATATAAAAAAAGCCCTGCGGTGCGTCGCGAGCAGTAGACCTATGTGTCAGAGAAAAAAGCTCGGCTCCTCGAGTCGCTAAACTGTCGGCCCCAGTGCCGAAATAGTAACGCCTCTGTATCTATGCTGCAAATAAACCTTGTTTAACTGACCGCCTTCTCGTCCGCTCGTCTATCAGTTCTGCGCAGAAGCAGTCGTGCGGTGAGAAACCTACGCTACCAAACGGCTGGTGACCTTCCCGGCGGAGTTCGAAGCAGTGGCGCCTTCGGGACCGTGTTGGCGTCGCCGTCTTTCGTAACTGTGTTTGGCAGCTGCGGGATCGGCCAGCGTTAGCGACATCGATGCGGTGAGTGCCTGATGTTTTCCCCTCAGTTCATCAGACTACTCTAGCTCAGGTTATAGTAGTTTAGAGAAGGGCTGTGTGAAGCATTACAGTGAGCGTTGATTCGTTTCAAGCAAAGTCGAAGTGCTTTGGAACCAAAGTTAATGCGGAGGGGGTAAACACGGGAGTGGTAAAAATTGCTTGCGCGTCTTGCTAGTAGACTTATAGTGGGTACGGCAAATAGAGTCTTAACAGGGGCAAACAGCAAGAGGCTAGTGTGAACGATGGAGAACCTTAAAGTGAAGGAACTCATCGAAATTTGTGAGGAACTCGGCAATACTTTGGGCCGTGCGAAACGAAGGCAAGCGATCCTTGAGATCATGAAGGATGAAGGAGTGTCGGCTGAGGAAGTCGATGAGGCCTGGACGGATATCAAAGCACGCCGCGAGGCAGCCGAAAGGCGAGAAGTTTGCGAACGTGAAAAAGCTGAAAGGCGAGAAGTTTACGAACGTGAAGAAGCTGAAAGGCGCGAACGTCACGAGCGTGAGGAGGCCGAGCGACAGGAGCGCCTCGAATTCAAACGAATAGAATTGGCAATCCTACAGTGTTCGCAGGCGCCTAGGCTAGCTTCTCCGACAGTTCAGGTCAGCGGTTATAGAATTCGGGACATACTGCCACCGTTTGTAGTAGGCGAGAACATGGCGAAGTATCTCGTCAAGTTTGAACACGTCTGTGAGCGAAATGCTTTAGAGCGGTCTCTTTGGGCGCAGAACCTGCTAGCTCTTCTTCCCGGCGAAGTGTCCGACGCGGTAACTTTCTTGTCGAGGGAAGCGTTTGGGAGCTATGACGAGGTTAAGGAAGTGCTCTTGAGACTTTATAATTTGTCACCCAAGGCTTTCAGGCAAAGGGTCTGGTATGCTAAAAAAGGAAATGAGTCACACGACGACTTCGCGTTTCGTCTTAAAGCCGATTTAATTGAATGGCTCAAGGGCGAAGGTGTTTATGACGACCGCGATAAAGTGGCAGAATGCATTGCATTGGAGCAATTCTACCGCTGCAACGAGGAGGATGTCAAGCTTTGGCTGCAGGACAAACTTGGTGAAGTACAGCTAAACAAGGCAGCAGAGTTAGCTGAGGAGTATTATACTCGCCGAAAGTTGCATAGCAGGGCAGTGCGCATTGGTAAGGATTAAAAGAAAGATGGCTTTTCGAAGAAACCTGATCAACGGAAGCCGCGAATCTGATACAACTGCAGAAAGGAAGGGCACATCGCGATCAACTGTAAGCAAAAGTTTGCAACTATCCGAGAATCGGAAAACAAACAAAAGCCGCGAATCTGCTACAACTGCAAAAAGGAAGGGTTCATCGCGATAAACTGTAAGCAAAAGTTTGCTTTTGTGACGACGCGAGAATCGGAAAAAACATGCGGTTATTAAAGCCGTCTATCCAAGAAATTAGTGTGAATAGGAAAACGTTTCGAGCACTTCGTGACTCAGCGGCAACCATGGACGTTGTCGATCCTTCATTGGTGTCTCCGGATGAATTTACAGGAGAATGCGCGTGGATCAGGCAAGTCGCCGAGGGGCAGAGTGCTTGCTTACCAATCGCTACGGTTGTCATTGAAGGGCCGTTCGGTAAGTTTCGCACTGAAGTGGCTGTGTCTGCTGCGCTCCGCGATCGTTTTACTTATCTTTTCTCTAACAATTCAGAGCAGCTTCTCAAAGAGCAGGGTAAATCGCTCTTCCCCAACTTATCGTACATGGCACTCACGCGATCGCAAGCGCGGAAGTTTTCGCAGGAGCTTGATCTTGTTCAATGTGGTGAATAATCAAGTGACCTTGGCGGCGAGTCGACGGAACCTCAGGGAGGAAATTGTCTGTGTGAGTCATGTGAGCAATCACTCGAGCGGCCCGTTGCCGAAGCGACTCGCGCGGTTTCCGTAGCAGGGGGAGACGACGTGGCGCCATTAAGTCGGAGCGAGAGGGGTGCAACGCTCTCGCCTGTAGCGGAATGTTGGAGTGAGCTGTCGAGAGTTGATCGAAAAACGCTCATTCGAGAGCAGCTTTAGGACCTCTCGATTAAAGCGCTTGTGGAAAGCCACATGAAAGCTGCACAAGTGTTGTCGAAGGAGTACTACGACAAATCGGGGAAGAAGCGCGCTTTTGAAGCAGGAAGTCATGCTGCTGCGGCCGTCCAAAAGAAACAAGCTTGAGGTTCATTGGGAAGGGCCCGCCAAAGTAATATCGAAGCTTCCTGATACCAATTATGAAGTGAAATTAGGAAGACGGCCGAACATAATTTACCACAGTAACTTGATGAAACAATACGTTCAACGTAAAGCGGGCGTAAATCTGCTGTTGAATGCTTCAGAGGAAGACGGAGCAGAAAGTTTGAGTTCTAGTGATGTAATCGAAAGGGGATCGGAGGTAATCTTGGAGCAGTTGAACCTAGCGCCTAGGTTAAGTGAAGTCATGAAGGAGGACCTGAGAAGGATTGTTTCGGAGTTTAAAGACGTGTTTTCGGACCGTCCCGGAAACACGACAGTGATCGAACACGATATCGAGGTAACTTGTGAGGAGCCAATCCTTAGCAAGCGGTATCGTTGTTCCCCTGTGCAACGTCGCAAATATAAGCAGCTGTTGGTACGCATGAGTATCGTCGCCTAAAAGTGGCCGGTTACTGAGATGAAGCATGATGCTCCAACAGCACAACTTTGACGTTCGCTACAAAAAAGAAAAGCTAAATGCTAATGCAGACGCATTGAGCCGTGCGTGTTAGTACCTTCTCCACCTTTCGGTTTCTCGCTGGCGATTTGGGGCAAAATTTTGTCCTCATCACGGCTTTAGCTATACACTCTCCTTCGGAATGAGCTCAAGGAGCCAACTTTATGCTCTATTCTATTTCGTTACGTTGTTGTACGAGAAAAAAAATTGAGTTCTCATTTTAAGAGTATTGTGTCCCACATGTGCCTCTTGATGTAGAGGGAACGAAATTGCGATAGACACGTAGCTAGGTATATGTTGTACTATACTTTGTCTGGTGTTCTGTCGGGTGACCGAGGGCACTTGCTTGTGTCGTGTGTTGTCTGTTGTCGAACCGTTCTTGACAAGTTGCAGAACCATCGACAAGTGCCGGAAACAAGTATCCTCAGAAGAGACGAGCGAAGCTGGCCGGCAAGTTGTGGCGACAAGCCAGTGGAGCTGGGATCTGTCCTCAAGAATGGAATGTGTTGCCGGAACGGAGTCTGGAGCTGCATTCTCCCCATGGCCCTTGAGGTGAACCTGGAGGTACCTGGCGAACGAGTGCGCCTTACATCCGAGCCACGTGAAAGCAGCTCGTCTTTCCGGCGCATTGTCTGGCGGTGGGGGTGCTGTTATGCCTGCGAGTTCACAGCGAACGTCCATGCCTCTGAAAAAGGCAATTTGTGTCAAGGCCAGCACGCGAGCCCGCCTGACGCGATGAACAACTCAACGGCGTCATCAGGCGACGGTGGCTTTCTGCCGCGCACGCACACTGAGTCACATGAGCCAGCCAGCCCATGAAGCAATCGGCGCCTTCCAGTCTGGCGAGTCTGACGCAATGTGTGGCGACGTTACTCGTCCTTGGGTGCAGCCACGTGCAGCGCAGCGGCTCCAGATTTGATGAGAATGACGCGGCCCAGCGGCGACCCCATTGGAGGACTCTGACCTCACGATCAGCGGCGCTTTTGGTTGGACATTTGGTTACTCAAAGAATCCACCCGGTTCCTAAAAAAAAGCCCTGCAGCGCGTCGCTAGCGGTAGACCTATGTGTCAGAGAAAAGAGCTCAGCTCTTCGAGTCGCTGAACTGTCAGCCCCAGATCCGAATTTGTAGCGCCTCTGTGTCTATGCTGTACATAAACCTTGTTTAACTCACCGTCTTCTTGTCTGCTCGTCTATCAGCTCTGCGCAGAAGCAGTCGCGAGCTGAGAAACGTACGCTACCAAACGGCTGGTTGCCTTCCCGGCGGAGTTTGAAGCAGTGCCGCCTTCGGGACCGTGTTGGCGTCGCCGCCTTTCGTAACAATATGTAGGTTCGGCGAACGAAAACACGATGTTAAGAAATGCGAGTGTTTTATATTTGTCGAATTATTGCAGTCACTATTCACCTGCAAACATAACTTTTTTTTTTGTTTTCGAAGATGCTCGTCAAGGTGGCAATGAAAGATTTGGTAAGTGTATTTTAATGCTTGATATAGCGGCGTATTAAGTGAAACGCATGAAGTTATTGTTGAAAGAAACACTCTCACGTTGCATTCCTGCATTTCAGTTTTCACCTTTACCGTTGTCTCCCTAATTTTTATGGCTGTTTGCTTCTCAATATGCAGAAATCGTATATTTGTTACATATAATATGTTTTGTGACGAAAAACAAACTTTCATAAAAAATTATCTGCTAATGTATCATAGACCTATACAAATGTTTCAAGAAGTGTGTCCGACAATCATATTGTATATAAAATTGTGGTAATATTTGTGCGCAGCCTGAATAATATGTTTTAATGTGATGGCATACATCTTAGGATGACTAGACAAACGACTTAAGGCAGTGAATAAATACAATAGATGAATTATTATCTTATTTCGCCAAAACACGCTGTTGCACTCCATGAGAGTATTGCGGTCATTCCTGCAAAGTGGCTACGTTGCTTTCGTAGTCTGAAAAAAAAATCTCACCAGAGAAGGATTGGCCACCCTGGTGCAGTATCTGGCCACTACCTCCCACATGCATACGAAAAAAAAATCAGCCCCTGGTAAACATTGCGCAGCCGCAAAATTTGACCAAGTTCCTCAGCAAAACCAAAGCCTCGATGAGCGCAAGTAGTAGACCACCAGAATGACACTACTGTTCATGACGGTAAATGCAGATGTGTTCTGCTTTTGTTAAGGTATGTAAGCTCCACGTGCTGTTATTGCGAACGTCCCCCACAGAACCAGAAAAATGACAGTGGATATGCGAGCCCTCGCGCTGATGTCTTCATACCACTTAGCTATGTGTAAAAGAGAGATAAGTAAACGCATTTAATATATAGCAGTGGTGTCCACTCTGACCTGAGCACACACTGAATTGGAGCAAGCGCTCTACCACAGAGCGTTGTAGTGGGTGCTCAGAGTGCTAGTGTGGCTACGACGACGGACAGTAGAGAAGCCACAACCATAGGCTGCTTTGCATCTAAAATTTCTGATCCAGATTATTGTCACCAAGTTCAAAATTCACATTAGAAATATGGCAGAAAAATATTCATGTTGTACTTCTGCACAAAACTCTGGCTGGTAAATAATAAGACGTCCCCTTCTTTTGCATGACGGCCAACTAAGCCAATATAAAAAAACACCAAATATTTTCTTGCACCAAGTTTCGTTTCATGAAAGCCTTATAAGTACGTTTTTTTCCTTTGATCAGTGGGTGAGTGGAGTTAATTTACCATTGTTGTAGCACATAAGTCACATAATGTCATGGCTGCTTCGCTAGACTCTTTTTGTTAATTTTATCAATGTCTATATGTGATTGTTCGTTTTGTGTGTGCACCATGTTCATTTTCTGCGGCATTGTATTCGTTTGTTTAAAATTCTTTAATAGAAGACCCTCTTGCTTGGTTGAATGTACTTATTGGCTTGCTTCACCGCCACAGAATAAAAATACACCAAGGGCCGAATATTTCATATTACTCAGAATGGTGCTGGTCTTAAGGCGTAAACATTTTCATATAAATATGCTAAAATAGAACATCTTGCTAACAATATTTCACATGTGTTTTTCCCCATAGTATATTTTAGAGTCCTATGAGACTGTGAGATGCTACGTGCCTCGATGAAAATTAGGATAACCAAGTGAACAAGGTCTTCACTCTAAAAGTTTAGCATTGCCTTTTTCTTTTTCAGACGTTGTGCACCTGTCCACCTTTTTTATATTAAGGAAGTACTAGAATGCTTGAACGTTTTGTTCCACTGTCTCTAAACACACTTATTCATGTGAACTTTCAGCCGTTATTGTCAACAAACGTGGCTGTATCCGAAGAGTTCTTTCATCTTATGGGAGTTTGGTAAGAAACTTAGATCTGATTGATTTATATGTGGGGTTTAACGTCCCAAAATTACTATATGATTAACTTAGATCTCATTTAATACTCCGTAAACGAAATGTACGTCTCATGACTGGACATATATTTATTCATTTTTTCCAGTACCCTGCTAGTTGTCTAGTGCGATGTCCCTTGTACGACAAAATAATGCCTGACGGGAGGACCTGTTTGAAGGTATGCTCCACTGAGAGTTATTTTCGTAAATTAAGGGCTTTATCACAATATTTGACGCATAAGCACTAGTTGTAGGAAAGTGCCAGTGCCGAAGGATAGCTGACTACGTACAAATTATATCTAAAAAATAGTAGAATGAAGTTGTTCGCAAAAATGCTATTACCTTGAAGGTAGGAACTGTCAAAGCCGATACTTCGAAGCGAGTTTCTTTCATGACTCAAGTTTTTCAATTCTCGCCACTGCTTGTAAGGCTGCTGGGTAAATTATCACTAAATACTGGCGCAGACATAACTCCGCTGTTCTTGCGTCTTTTGTGTGAACACGATCGTTCATGCCCTCATAGTAGCTGGGCTCTGAAATTATTGGATAGAAACCCGTAACACGACTCACTTAGTAATTTATGATTCCAGAGAGGACGATGCCATGTGTCACCATTACAGTATATCTTGAGAACAATGTGACAGTAGTATTCCGAGCAAAGTACGAAAAGCTGGTATGCGTATTTACTCTCAAAGAGTATGCGTATTTTACTCTCAAATTACCGGGTGAAATAACAAAAAATGAAAAAGCGTGTCATGGTATGGTACTGTGAGAGTGCGGTGAGATTGTTTATATACGTAAAAAATGCGACTAACATATTTTTAGTAGCGACTTTAGCTGACGTAATAAATGCCTGCTTCAGCATCTTAGCAGAGTGCATGCCGTACGTTAGTATGTAAGAAAAAGTGTACCTGTGCTTGACGATAATGTACCTTAATTGTTAGTGTCCAGCTCTTGCTGCAAAGTTTGAGCAAAGCGAGTAGAGCTGCAGTGAGCACGTAAGCGGAAGAACTGGCCACTAGGAAAGGCGAAGAATTTGAATAGATTTTCTGTTAAATATTTAATATATTCTAGTTTATCTGTCCATATTATTTTAATATTTTGGACTTCGATTGTTTGTTTTAGAGTTTTTAGACTTGCTAGCCTTATTCTAAGATTGTGTTGACCCCTTGATTTCAAGTATAATCACGTCCCGTGAGACTTCTACATAGACGACAAGCTGGTTTCTTAAGTGCTTGAAAGTTGGTGCAATATTTAATAAAAAGAGCTGTACCGACAGCTTTTGGTGGCCCTTAGCACCGAATACACAACATTCAGTATTCTCTGACATGGTAAGTGCACGAAAGAGTACAAATACTTGTTTTCCTGCATGCTATGAATCACAAACGCTGTGTGGTTTGGTGTATTCCTCAGCAGTGATGCGTTTGCGCTCGGAAGACTTTATCGTTAGCTTAATTAAGAAGAGAATGAGAGCTCATATTACATGAGGGTCGGCATGAGAGAGTGTGCACGTAATAATTGATACGTACTCTTGATATTTTTACTAGCGAAATAGTAGTGGCAATGATGGGCTGTAGTTAGCGATAACAATGTTATTATTTCGGCCGTATAAACGAATGTAAAAACTTGGATTTTACTTATTCCTCTTATATTGGTAAATTACTCAGAGTGAAAGTTCGCTCACTCCTATGCATGCGAACACACATGCTGGGCTTGAAACCATTCTGCGTTCGTTAACAATTTAATAGACAAGGCGATGACACTCCAGTATAGGCATGGCGTGCCATTGCCAAAAAGAGTTGCTCTAGGCTTCATGGTCCACACTGTCGAGGAATACGTTGATCCGGCTGTAAGAAGCTACAAATTCTAGAGATATGGGCACATTACTTAGGCATGCTGGGGAATTAAGAGATTCTAAGTATGCGCAAGTCCACAATATTGCAAAGAATGCACGTTGAAGCGTCAAACTTGGTGTGCATCGTGTGCTGGACCACATCTGGCGTCATTTTCAGGTTGCTCTCGAAACCGTTCAGCATCGGCGGCACAAAGAGAGAGAATTGTAAAAGAGTATCAAAAGATACATAACATCCACTACCCAATGCACATTCACTCCAATAGTTTCCTGCGCCACAACGAGACGTCAAACAGATGCGCCAGGACACTTACTCGGCTGCGTTGAACCGCTCGGCGCCAAAACATTGTCTCGGCAAGGACGTTCAGGCCCAAGGACATGCTGACGCTGCACCTGCAGCCAGGGCAGAGACAGCGAAGGAGTCATCCACTACCAAGATCCGCTGGCTACCTACAACATCCTAATCGAAATCATCTAGTACTAAAGTGACGGGTGAAAGTAACCTGTTAGCGAACAATTCTTCAATAAATGCGGCCTTGGCGGAGACAGCCAGGAACGAGCAAGTAATTTTGCCAATAATTTTTCCGGCTCCTAAAACAATTTTACTATCCCTACTGCAAGTGATCTTGGTTACCGGATTATCTAACTGGTACAAAAAAGCGCCATATTAAGCAGAACTGCAATGGTTTGCGGAATAAGAGTAGAAATTCAAGGAAATTCTTCGCTCAACACAGCTTTCCAATTTTGTGTATTTTCAAACGAAGAGTATCCCCTAACTTCCGCCTCTCTAATAATGTGCTGTACGAAGTAGAACGCCCAGCTGCTGAATGCAGAGTGATGTGTGCGAGACGCGATATTCCATCTACACTGGTGCCTACTTCAAAAGAATTTTGGACCATCTCTCTGAAGGAAACCCTAATAGGATGCCAAGCAGGGGTGCGGACGGCGCTGACCAGGTTGAAACAGGCGTCAACGCGGGTGCTGGAAGAATGGTTGAGCTCGGGAAGTTCCGGAAGGCGAGGCGAGTAACTATAACCATGCGTGAGGCTCACCATTGGAACCTTGCCGAACTTCAGCGAATCCTTGCCGCCGGCGCAGACCACGAAGTCGCATGGGTCCGCACCGCAATCACACAGAACACTTCGGTGATCGCCGCCTCCAGCTGCTTGTGGCTGCGGATGGAACCGATGTTGGGCAGGTGGTTGTCGACCCGCAGACTGTCGCACGCACGGCCACTGTGACCAAATTTACGTTGGAGGAACTCTCCTCGGAAGTGGGCGTCACACATGGCACCGCTGGCACCGTCGCGGACGGCTTTTTCCATGCGCCACTTCAAAATGCTTTCGACGTTGTGGCGGCGAGAGGCCAACGAATAGGCCGGCAGTGCCCGGTGCTTGCGGGCGGTCGCTTTGGGAGCAGGCACGTGCTGCTTTAGAGACATTGCTGACGAGCGCAGGATTTGTTGGCGTTGGCATTCCACTCTCGGCGCTTCCGCTCGGCTTCTTCGGTTATCGTCTCGTCGGTTTTACCCGCGCACCGTTTTCTTTTTCGAACTCGATTGGCATACTTGACTCGCATCACTTCGGTGCCGTTGGTCTTCTATTGCCGAGGACGTGTGATAGACGCCAGTGGGAGCGGCCGCGTTTCGCAAGTGCTCCGGCAAAACTCCTGTTTTTTGACTGCTTAAGTCATTCAATCACCACTTGAACAAATGCGAAGCTTTCTATGGAATTGAACCCATCATCTGAAGTGATTTCAAGTGAGTGCTTCGCATTTCGCGTACGCGCACATCGACTTTTTATCAGCGTTCAACTACCTCGGTGGGCCTACTAGCGAGGCCTACAAACATGGTCATCCACGAAGTAGAGAGAGAGCAGCTTCTCTCCGTCGATGTTCGACGATGATGAAGGCAGCTGGTGTCAAGTGTATGCCAGGGCCAGAAAGCCCGCTTCATCTCCGAAAAAATCGACGCCTGCCATCAACACTTCGCAAGAACGGTAACAGAAAGCCCTCCCATTGACTCGTCGTAGTGCCCCTAGAGCCCCTCCACATCCAGCGAGTGACTACAAAGAAGTCCTGCAATTACGTTAAGGACTCAGCTATGCTGACACTCCGCTTTCGAAGCTCATACATGCTGTCCTAAAAGCGGCAGCGCTCAGAAGCTCCCAACATGACCAATACCGCATTCACTCTGTAAGCAACATTCTGCTCATAAGCACACCGGACCCGGAGTGCACCGAAGCATACACCGTATCAAATACATCAAGATGGACGAGCGCAGCTTTGAAGTTGTCCGCCCACTACCGATCCATCGAATAGCTGCCGAGGGGACATATTCCCATGGAACACACACCTGAACCATCTTGTCAAGTGTATTGAACTATAAGAGATTAGGCCTCATGTTGACCGGACCTCACTTGGGTTACACGACGTCTATCTTGGTCACCTTCAGAAGTACGCGGGTGCCTTTCTACATAAGCTATCAGGGTGGCATCACCAGATGCGTACCCTATCGTCATAAGACGGAAGCCTGTAATCTCTGCAGCAAACTTGGCCACAGACCAGACATATGCCCAGGCGCCCCTCAGTCTTTATATCCAATGTGGGCATTCTGAACCCACTCCTTGATCACGAATGGGAACCTAAGTGTGTGGTGTGCAACAGTGACCACCCCACCGGCTCGCCCCAGCGCCCGCAGTGCTACAAGCTCAAACCAAAGCACGCACCCTACACTTTCGAGGAAGATGCAGCTCGATTTCTCGACCCAAGCACGTCTTTCAAGAACGCCACTAGAAGACGCTCACCCAGTATCACAAGACAACAAAGTAAAAAAAGCCGCAGCCGCAGCCGAAGCAGCAACAAAATCATTCATCAAGACCCCAGCCCCCGGACTGGCCCTGGTTGCGAGGAGAGGTGGGCTGATGTTGCCTCCCCCGAAAGCTCCATTCAAAAGCTGCTCAAACTAATGCAGGGTAAGATAGCTCAATAGAGGGCAAAAAATTCAAAACTACGTCTGGAGCTCAAGTCCTACAAACAACCATCTACCTCCCCACACCTCCCTTTCTCTTTTATCACCCGTACACCTATCTCACCACCACCAGCTCCTCCCACAACCACTCCTATAACTAGGGACCCCTATCAACTACCTGCGCAAAAAGGAAAAGTGTCGACTCTGACATTGTCATTTGAAGAGCGAGTAGACCGAGTGGAAGTAATACTAGAGAGGGTTGAGAAAGTTAAAAAGTAACTACAATTGAGGATAGACTAGACAATATAATAATAACCTTCTTCACAGCTTTCTTGCAGAAGCTACACGAATTCGTGGCCTCGATACAACAAGTCATGTTACCGAGGCAACAAACCCTGAATAGAGCCTTACAGTGGATCGACAAAGTCCACGCTAACCATCCAGATCTTGTCCAACTTAAGCCAAATCTACTTAGCCAAAGTGGCTCCTCATAACCGCACTGAACTTTGCGTATGGCAATGAAACTGCAGGGGGTTTCAAAAAAAAAAGGCAAACCTCCTGCAGTACATCAAATCACAAGCTACCCCTCCACTCATCATTGCGTTGCAAGAAACAAATGGTGTAGTGCAGCTGCAAGGTTATAGAATTCATCAAAACCCGGCTGATACCAAACCAAACATTGCTTTCTGAACTCAGAAGCACCTGACAGTTGCCTATTCAAATTTTGCTGACATCGACATTCAGCACGACTTTCTCCGAACCTGATAAACTTTACTCGCCATTCTAATACATTCTCAACGTATATAGTAGACCACAAAAGAAAATCCACCACTTCGATTCCCTATTCGCCCGAGCTACATCCTCGGCAGCCAAACACACCCTGCTCAGATTGGTGGATTTCAACGCCTCCCACCCAGCGTGGGGTTATATTGCATCTACACCGAAAGGGAGAGCCCTCTGGTCCCATATTCAGGCACATCGTTTTACAATGCACAATGACCCGAAGGAGCCTACTCGTTTAGGGAACAGTGTGAGCAAAAACATGTTCCTCGATTTTTCCCTCACTCACCAGTCTCCCACAATGGTTTAGACTAACACCCAAATTATTCTTGGCAGTGATCATGACGTTATTAGCGTTACTTCACAACTAAAACACAGACCACTTGCACCTAAACTACTGATAATCACAGAATGGGACAAGTTTAGAGAGACCCGAAACAGCTCCACCCCCTCACGCATTGAAGACCTTACTGAGTGGACTCCACAGCGTCAAAAAGATGTTGAAATCCACACAAAAAAACCTACCCCCAACACCCCGATAACTATCTCCACTCCAAGCTTCTATATATGTGGGAAGCAAAACAGTCCCTTCCTTGACGGTGGAAACACCTGCGCTAAAACAGGAAACTCCAAATTAGAATAGCAAAGCTAGACGAACAAATCGACCGATACGTGAATCATTGGCGGCGCAACCATGGGGTCAGCTTTGTGAAGGAATGCATAACCACCTCATTAATAAACGAGCTTGGTAACTTCTTAGACATCTGCTAAATTCCAGCACTTCTCGCACACGACACCGCCACGCTATCACCAAACTGTTACATGAGCACAGTGACCATTTAGGACAACTGTTCGATAACCTCCGCTCGTTGCATTTGTCCCAATTACGTAAGGTTTCTATACCATCTTACACAGGGAAACCTAATGAGTCATCAGATTCGCCGATAACGCTGGCGGAAGTTAGGCACGCCCTCGCAACACTCCATACCACGTCGGCTTCAGGCCCCTACCACGTTGACAAGAAATTACTTAGAAATCTTGACCCTATTTCTATTAACGCTTCGACTGAGTACTTCAACAACTGTTTTGACATGGGCACCCTTCCACCTTTGTGGAAAGTTGCCAGGGCCATCTTTATACCTAAACCAAACAAAGCTCTCTCAGTAGGAAATGTGAGGTCCATTTTATGAGAAAATCTGAAGTTCATTATTACCGTTACTAATGTCACGAAAGAGCCCTGTGCAATTGCATTCATGTAAACCGGTGAGTTTGGCGAGTTTTATTTCGAAAGTAAATAGATAAAATGATCAATGAACAAACTTTATGGTGGCAAGACAAGAAAAATCTACTCTGAGAAAGCATAGCCAGCTTCATAAAAGTAGATGCTCAATGAACTGCATTTCGGACAAAGTCAAAGTTGTGGAAAACAACCGTACACGTGAAAACATCACTGTCGCATTTATTTCTTGATGTCCAACGGGCATACGACAGAGTGAGCCGTGTTCATGTTCTGGAAAGCCTAGCGTTGCAGAAGTTTAAGGGCAATATTCTGCGCCGGATCGCTTAACTTGAAGCACTGGTGAATTCTTCGTGTTACCCAAGAGGCTCTAACTTCAAAACATGTGGTCAACCAAGGACTGCCACAGGGCAGCGTGCTAAGCCCAAAGCTTTTTAGTGCAATTATAGCTCAGCTCCCGTATAATATTCCACCTAACATCACATCTTCGGTGTATACTAATGTTATAAGATATGGACGTCTGGTTCAATGTTTTTGAAAATTCAACAAACTTTGCAAGAAGAATTAGATCATGTAGACAATTTTCTTACACGAAATGGTATGGCACTGAGTATAGCAAAAACAGCCATACTACCGTTCACATTTAAAAGACCTGTATATTGTCAGATTATTCTGCAATACCAGCCTATTTAAATGGTAAATATTAATACATCTTTAGGTGTTATTTAGGACTGGAGACTAACATAGTCGCCTCACGCTCAATCCTTTGAACAAAAAATTAGCCCGAATCTGCATGTTACACAGCAAATGTCGTCAAAAGACGATAGCCTTGTGCCTGGAGAGAGTGAAGAAAACGTCTATTTGATGTTTTACGCAAGAAAATCTGTGAATGGTATTCTGGAGGCACTGCGTTAGAACGCCTCGAGCATGTAGCGGAGGCGAATGAGCGCATCGAGGCACGTTAGACACAAGCGTCATCTGGCAGTTATCTTCGAAAACGAAGGCGTGCGCGCCCGCGGAGAAAGATGCACGCCAGTCTCGGAGGTGATAAGGTGTAGAACGCAAAGCGACGGGCAGGTGTCACCACCGTGGCGTCGTAGGAAAGCGTTGGAAACACCTTTTTGTGCATCGCGTTGCACAGTCAGCGCAGCGCAATAAACGCTACAGTCCTTAGTATTACTTGTGTGTGCCTCTTCTAGTATAAAGGCAGACATACAAAACATCGACGTGTTGTGAAGGCGTCTGTGATATGCGCAATAATTGGTTTTTAAGTGACAATCGCACAACTATGAACACTAAACCTTGAGCAATATTGATGAGTGCTTTCGATGGGGTTGGCCGTTTTGTGCCAGTTCGAGTATCAGTAAGAGCAGACAAACTGAGAAATGTACAGACAGACAAACAGATAGACAGACAGACCAAAATTTTTCCGTCGAAGGTCCCCAAGAAAGACTATCGTCTTTAAAAAGTGAATCAAGCCACTATAGAGTGCTCCGTTCTTTTGGCGGGGCTCAATGAGATGGTACTACAGAGTCGCTGTTGATCCTACATGCTGCGTGGATTCGTCCCATGGTGTGTTACTACCTGCCTCTGCTCTAGAGACTTCCAGCCAACATCTAGAGAAGGCTTCACTTGTTATTGGCAAGGAGATTGATGGTATGTTTGGGTTTACCAAGTTGGATTTTCAGAGATTTGTTGTATGAAGAAGCTCTACAACCCCTTCTCGCAGTACTCCGAGCAAGAGAAACATCTAGAAATTTATTTAAAATTTTAACGCAACATGACAATCATATTTTATCTGGTGAACTAACACAAAGCACGGCAACAAGACTGCAGGATAGCGTGTCTTTTTTCAATCAGTAGTACAAGGACATAAATGATGGAAGCCATTAAAACCACCTTGAACGTTGCTTGTAAAATAGATGGCATACGCAAGAAAATAAAGCAGACATGGTCCTATAGGGGGGGGGGGCACTGAGGGTGCTTCATCGTTTCCTTATTAGCTACATTGAAAGGACGAAGATATATACAGATGTGTCCGGCACTGAAGAAGTGTCACGTGTCCAGTCTTTGTGCCCAAAATTCAAGAAGAGATTGTATAAATTATCACACAAATGTTAATCAATGACAACAGATTTCATGGATATTTTTCAAGCAGTTATGTTTATCTGCGAAAATTCTGGGACACCACAGTGGACGGTATGCACGGATGGCAAACCCACCCTTCAGATAAATCAAACATGTGAGGTCACGTCTCAAAAATGGTGAAATAGCAAAATGTATTCCAGAAACTGTTGAATACGCCTCTGTGCAGGGTCAAAACATCGTATTGGAATGGATACTCAACCACATTGATATAAAGAGCAATGAAGAGGTAGACAGCCTCGCCACGAAAGCATTCAAAGAAGGATGGTAATGCGCAATTCGTATGCGTGGGGTGGATATTCGAAATTTTATAATGAAAAGAGCTAACCACTGTTCTATGGAGAAGGGGGGCGGCTCTTCACATGAAAGAAATTACTCGGCCCATGGCCTTAGATGCATATTCTGAAAAAGGTGAACATCGCCCTCACAGACTTCTTAGTGGAGACCAGACAAGCTAAGCGCTTGTGTATTAAAGCTAGGAGTTGACATATATGCGAAGATGTGTTAGTGCCTATACTGAGTGTAGAAATAAAAAGGTGTGCGTGCGAATGTTTTATCACAATGTGAACCTCGCCAGCAAACTGTATATTGACACGATATTTAAACAGAATTTAGTGTGCTACTACGTTTTTTTTGCTGATTGCCAATTTTCGGTACCATTTATTATTATTTGCTTCCGCTGGAGAGTTTATCTATATGAAGTTGCCGAGGTAATATAGACCTAAAGCACTCCACAGGAAAACAGACACATCAAAACAGCAAAACAAACAAACTACACAAAATCATTGCAGAAAAGGGAAAAAATATGAAGTACATTGTTTTGGCAATTTAGTGGTGCACTGTGTTCAATTCACGCAAATAATCGCTTCTATTTATTCTAGGTAATTAGGAATCAACTTCAGGAGCGCCGAAGCGTTGCGAAATTGAGGTGTTGGAAAGGATACTGCCGCGACGGCGTGTGCGTTACTACGCATTTCTCTCAGCAGTGTGAAGTACCGAAAAACAGAACCTTTACTCGACGTCCAGATCTCCTTGCCGAATAAATGTTTCGCCTGAAGATGCTGGGTCAGATATAAACCACGAAGTGGCAACTGCTTGGTGCCAGTGAGCACTTCTGGGAAATGATTGTATGTATGTCCACAGAGAATAAACCCACCAGTAAACTTCAAATGCTGTTTTTTACTGCGAACATCAACATTAAGTATTTACCCGCAGTTACTTTTCTATGCACTTTGGTTTCCCCTAAAAGTTCTTTAAAAATACAAATTGGCGTTAAGTAAAGCACTTATATTAATAATAATAATAATAATAATAATAATAATAATAATAATAATAATAATAATAATAATAAACGGTGTATTTCCCATCTATATGTGAGATACAGACAGGGGGATTGTAGAAAAAAGCCATCTCCGGACAGCTTGACTAGCCTACAACCCTATGTATTTGGCAGTTCAGCAATATTTTTTTACAAACATATTACATATTATTATAAATACTTCTATACTCCTGCACTTTTAGAAAATTATACAAACACAAATCCGCACACACACCCATATATACATACAGGAGCATGCTAGTGCTTTAACATATTTCAATATACACTTCCCTCTTGAAGGGCAACAAATTCAAAAACGTGTCTGTATTGCACATGAATCTATGTAAAAACCACATGCATCCTTACATGCGTTTAGAAATGAAAGATTTCGGATTTGCCATTTCTAGCCTTGTGTTTTAATGCTGACTCTACTCCCACACTTACCATTACTTAGCCAAGTTGGCGAGCACATTCGTTTAACTCGACAAAATAAAAAAATGGTAGCATGAGTAAGCTAGTAGATGTATATTAGCATATGCTACATCTTTTATGGAGGATTTTACTTACCTTCCCTCTTACACCAACTGGAACCAGCCGGCAGAGCCATAGTTCCGCCTGTCACCTGCACTTCGACAACTAATCCCTTCATCGCCATCTCTCTCCGTTGTTTTTCAAAGCTACTCTCTGTAGGCATTTCACTTACCGAGTTAAGCGCCAAGTCCATGCAAGGCAGGCAGAGGTCTCAATGAACAATAAACAATTTATTCGTGAAATGGTTCATATGAAAGTGTATGGCCTATGTGCACGAACGTAGGCTGCGAAATATAGGTTCCGCGCAGCAGGTATCCGCCAGAGGGAGTTGTGCTTGGTCAGAACTACGTAAGGAGAGCCAACAACATGTAATAAGTATTTAAATATACATACCCTACTTCTCATTCCACCATTCTGGAATGTACGCTTGAGGTGACGCCAAAGCTGTGCCTTTGGCATACGAATGCGAACAAACTCCGCAGACGTTATCAAAAAAGTCTGCTGTCATTATTAAGATACATGTCAAGAGCATTTATAATCACAAACTTGCGTTCATTGCAGGGCTGGTGTCTTTTTTTTTGTTTAAACAGTTAACCTGGTCCTACGCTGGCTGCGGCCACAGTACTCCTGCAATCTTTATTTGCGACTCGCACGTGACTTTCTGCCTCAGATTGGGTTATTTGCCTCTTCTTAGAAGTCAGTTCATTACACAAATCTCCTGCGGTTATTATACGTTTTCGCTACACTACCAGCTAATTTCTATTTCTTTTTTTTCACTTCAACTGAGGTGTTCCTGACACACATGTGTTCTATGACACACTCAGCTTCATATCTCTAAACGTTAAACATGCCTTTTTCAACGTATCAATGCTCTTGCATTCATCCAAATTGAACCCTTTTTTGCAAGCTTTGTATCTTCTGCCCCAGGAGTAAGATACAGGTGTCACACACTTTTCCTGTATTAGAAAGCTTTTGTATTTAGAAATACTGCAGACTCTATTAGCGCCTGAGCAGTAATGTGTACCTAAATGGCCGTGGCAACATCAAAAACACATAATATATATATATATATATATATATATATATATATGTATGGTACAAAAAATATTTCTCAACTTCAGTCAAAAACGTGAATCCGTAACAATACTACAACGAAAGGCACAAAATAGACCTAATCTGTATCAGTAAGACGCCTACTTAATTACAGAAGCATTTAATTATAAAAAAATTTCGTTAGCGAGATGGCCGAACGATTGTGTCATGCTGTCACAAACCGAGCCCTCAAAAAAGGGCGCGCCGCCAAATTCTCGCAACGAAGCGCCGAGAGGTCAATGATAAAAAAAGAAAACAAGCATCCAAAGACTCCCCAGGCACGCGCCCCTCTCCCCTCGAAAGCGTGGGTTCGCCGACGAACCTCCTCTGATCGGCGACCGAGCAAGCCCTAGAATGTTTTAGATTGAAAGGGGCGGGGTGATGCCGGGTTGAGTCATCCGTCGGGGACGGCCTTCGAACCGTCTCGCCCTCTCCCCAGCCTTCGCTGCGTATCGCGCCGACGAAATGATGAGAACTTTCTGGAATCTCGCGCGGAAGGTATTTAATCGAGCAGCCGAGATGGGAGATCAGGAGAAGACGGAAGTTAGCGCCAGAGCGCGTAGGGTGTTCCGGCGTGTAGTCGGCGAAGGTTTTGTCCGTAGTGACAAAGCAGGAGAAGAAGAGGATTTCTACCTGAGGGGTGAAGGCTCGAGCTACAGGCAAGAGCGTATGTCTACCGCTATCGAGCGAAGACGCGTAGCAACAGCTGCGTGTGTGAAGCCGACGGGTTTCCGGCGAAGAAGGTTGAAGCTTGGAGAATGGCCAAGTGAAGACGCGAGGTTTCCTAGAAGAGAAACTTCGGGGGCAGTCGAGGTTTCCTAGAAGAGAAACTTCGCGGCCCCATCTGTATTCTTTCTTCCCTGAACAAAGTCATCGAAAAACTGTTAATAACTCGGCTAAACAAGTACCTTAATAAATTTAATATACTGAAGCCCTGTCAATTTGGCTTTCGCGCTGGAAGTTCTACTAACCTTGCTATTCTTTCCCTATCAGACATCATCAAACACTCTATAGACGCAGGATTTGTAGTAGGGTCAGTTTTCTTAGACTTCACAAAGGCATTCGATACCATCAATCATCTCATTTTATCCAAGAAACTCGAATCATACGGTATTACAGGTCCATCCCTCAAATTTTTAAACAGTTACCTCCTTAACCGAAAGCATACTGTTTACATATCGGGCTCAATTTCTTCTACTAAAACAATAAATCAAGGGGTTCCTCAAGGGTCATCACTGGGTCCGTTACTTTTTTTGCTTTACATTAATGACCTCCCTGACATTATACACATGGCTCACTGCGTTTTATATGCTGATGATACTACCATTTTCATTGCTGATAGATGTATTGACAATGTGACTAATAAATTAAATGCTGTACTTTGTAGTGTGTCAAAATGGTGCCAGGAAAATTCCTAATCATTAATCCAAATAACTCTAAGTTTATGGTTTTTAGATCAGCTCAACGCAAGTTAACTTCCTCACCACAGATCACAGTTGACTCTCATTTGATTAATATCAGCGACAGTGTATCTTTTCTTGGCGTTCACCTCGACGCTTACCTTAACTTCGCTCTCCATATTGCTCACCCAAAGCTCGCATTACTCAAAGCTCGCTCATATTTTTCTCATAAAGCACTCCTTTCACTTTACTTCGCATTCATTCATTCTCATATCACTTATGGCATCGCATCATGGGGGAATACTTACCAGTGTCATTTTTCATCCGTACAACATCTACAAAATCGAGCTATTCGCGCTATTTTTAACTGTTCTTGCGACAGTAGCGCCGCTCCCTTTCTTCAATGCAATAAAATCTTAACTGTTAACTATCTATTCAGGTTTAATCTAATTATGTTTTTGCATAAACAAATAAGAAATCAACTTTCCGCTAATTTAATTGAGCCTAAGATGTTAGTTAATACTAACACAACCAGGTTCGCGGCTAATAATAACTTTTTACTTCCTAAGGTTCGTACTAACTATGGTAAATCATCTTCTCTCTGCTGTACCATCACCATATCGAATAATTTGCCAACTTCGCTAAAATGCAAAGTTTCTTTATTTTCATTTAAAAACTCATTAAAAGAGTACCTGTTAAATAGTTGATCTATCATCTTGTTTGTGTTGTTTTATGTTGTATTATTTGTTTTTTGATTCCATGCCTTTTTGTTTTCATTCTGCTTTATATATTTTTGCTTCTACGATTATAACAGCTGCTTGTGCTTTTATTATTCGTAATGATCACCGAGGGTACCGTTGCAGTCTTGTACTTTGGGACCCTCTTCTGTATATTTTACTCCCTGTAACATCATTTTATGACATGATAATAAACTGATTGATTGATTACCACCATGTGTTCGACAGCACCACAGTTCTGTAACCGCATAGAGACAAAAAAAGCTCGATAGATTGTAGAAGCTGCTCCCATAAAACGCGCGGGTTGCACCTGCATTAGCGAGCCTTTAGTTTCACTTCGTGATAAGGAACTTGCGTTCTTGAATGGAGTGATTATGCGTACATGCTGACTCCCCCGACGTTTTTTGTTAGTGAGTATCTGGGTTTGTGGGGTGAAAGGGCAGCACTTCTCTTAATTCTTCTCCGACTCTCACCGCTGTCTATGCAAGTGCTCTTCTATACATTTTTTGTTGCCCAATAATGTCCAGTGAAACGTTAAAGCTCGTCCCCTCGTCCTTCTCTCGTATCTTGTTTATGGTTTTAAATGCGAATAATTTCTTTGCAAACTGTAAGCACTTTTGTCATCTATCTATCTATCTATCTATCTATCTATCTATCTATCTATCTATCTATCTATCTATCTATCTATCTATCTATCTATCTATCTATCTATCTATCTATCTATCTATCTATCTATCTATGCACTTACATCTCGGTGCTTCCGTGGGCACCCCTTTAACTTGATGGGAACAGAAATTAATATAGGAGGGTGAGCTGGCGTGCGGAATATGAGAAGCTGGTAAAGATATGGAAAATTTGACAGATACCACGTACCTTGGGAAACGACATTACTTGTAGGATGTGAAGAGAAAGTGACCAAGTTGTAATTTATTTTATTCAGCGAAACCTCGTGAATTAACGGTAAATATGTGTATAAATGTTGCTAACAGACATATATTGAAGAGTTATATATGTTAATATAAGTAGTTTGCACTTCCGCAACAATGCAATCAGGAGCATGACGATTAGCAACACCACAACCGACAA